GTAAATACAAGAGTGCACACGCTGAAATGTCTCGCCTTCTTTACTAATCATTGATATGATGTTGATAGACAAAAGTCGCAGGCTCGACAAAAACTAGAGGCTGTAAAGAGCCTGTGTCCCTCACCTTGATCTATGTGCCTTTTCAACATCAGACTAGAATATATTTTATAACTAAGATCTCTCTTTTGTTGACCTTGTCTTACTGGTCATTTTTGCAGTGGTATGTGGACAGATGTGAAACTATCTTTCAACAAGAGTGCACATGCTGAAATGTCTTGCCTGTTTTACTGACCATTTATTTTATGTTGAAAGTCTTAAAGATAAAGGTTTTACTACAAGTATCACATTAACTTAACATTCTTAAAGATCCATGACAATGAGGTCAAGGTCAGATAAAAACTGTCACACAGACATGTACACCTTACAATTATTCCATACACCAAATATAGTTGAACCATTGCTTATGGTAATTGTATAAAAAGACCAAAACACAAAACTTAATGTTAACCAATGAACCATGGAATGAGGTCAAGGTCTGATGATATTGGCTAGACAGACATGTACACCTTACAATCATTCCATACACCAACTATAGTTGACCTATGCTATTAGTATTTGAAAAACAGACCAAAACACAAAAACTTAACATTGCCCAATGAACCATGAAAATGAGGTCAAGGTCATATGACACCAGCTAGACAGACATGTACACCTTACAATCATTCCATACACCAAATATAGTTGACCTATTAGCTTACAGTACTTGAAAAACAGACCAAAACACAAAAAATTAACAATGACCAATGAACCATGAAAATGAGGTCAAGGTCAGATGACATCGGCTAGACAGACATGTACACCTAACAATCATTCCATAAACCAAATATAGTAGACCTATTGCTATTAGTATTTGAAAAACAGACCAAAACACAAAAACTTAACATTGACCAATGAACCATGAAAATGTGATCAAGGTCATATGACACCAGCTAGACAGACATGTAGACCTTACAATCATTCCATACACCAAATAAAGTTGACCTATTGCTTACAGTACTTGAAAAACAGACCAAAACACCTAAAATTAACAATGACCAATAAACCATGAAAATAAGGTCAAGGTCAGATGAAACCTGCCAGTCTGACATGTACCCCTTACAACATTCCATACACCACATATAGTTGACCTGCTGCTTGTAGTATCTGAGAAAGGACCTAATCACGTTACTTTAACCTTGATCACTGATCCATGAATTGAGGTCGAGGTCAGGTGAACCCTGTCTGACTGACATGTAGACGTTGCAAGGAACTCATATACAAAATATAGTTAACCTATTACAGGACAAAAAAACTGCAATTTTTTTTCAAGCAGTCACTGAACCATGAAAATGAGGTGAAGGACAATGGGCAAATGACAGACGGAAATTTCTTAACTTAAGGTATCTGCAAACAAGGTATGAAGCATCATTATAAACGTCATTTAGGTGCAATTACTCATACAGCCATGTTGGTTGGTAGGCAGGATCATGAGACCTGTTATTTAAAGGTGATACCCTAATGATGATTGTGGCCAGGTTTAATTAAATATGGCCTAATATTTTCAGAGGAAGAGATTTTTGTAAAAGTTAAACTGATGACAACACCTGACCCTGGAAGCCATGTGATGAGAATTTTGGCCCTTTGGGCAGTGGTATGTGGACAAATGTGAAACTCTTTCAAAAAAAAAAAAAAAATAACCTGGATAGGCATTATGTAAAAAAAGATGCAAGAACAATATTTAAACAAATGGTTATAATCTTAATAATTAACCACAATCTGGAAGCAAGGATTTATTTAGGAATCCTTGCTGAAGCAGTTTTGCTGTATAGTTCTCATTTGTATTAAAATATGGCACCAGTACAAAGTACAGATATAATCAATCTTCTTTCATTTCTGGCAGAAACCACAACAATACCATCAAGTACAAAAATAACTTCTGGTTTTATCTGGCTAATTTCACACAAATTACCTGTAACACCTTAATTTCAAACTGATTATGAAGTGTGGAAACTATTTTCTGCAGTATGTTTGTACATCATTAATACCTAATGGTGCAGTCATTAATTATCTTCTGTTCATTTTCAAGATCTTTCAGAATTTTGTTTACTGTGAATAGTTGAGATAATTAATACTTCATTTAATTATGGGTCTATCCATCTTCACCAATAAAATATAGCTGTACTTCCAATTACTGATTGTGTGCTGACCTGTTGACATGTACAGTACTTTAACTTTTGTTTATCATGAAGAGGATTTTTGAATAAAATGGAGAATGGAAATGGGGAATGTGTCAAAGAGACAACAACCGACCAAAGAGCAGAAAACAGCCCAAGGCCACCAATGGGTCTTCAACACAGCGAGAAAATCCTGCACCTGGAAGCGGGCTTCAGCTGGCCCCTAAACAAAAATGTGTACTAGTTCAGTGAAAATGGACGTCACACTAAACTCCGAAACATATAAATGCACTAAAATTAAAAAAAAACATACAATACTAACAAAGGCCAGAGGCTCCTGACTTGGGACAGACACAAAAATGCAGTGGGGTTAAACATGTTTTGTGAGTTCTCAACCCTCCCCCTATACCTCTAGCATTTATTAGCAAATGAACTGTAAATTCTAAAATAATCTGAGATACTGAACCAAATGTTAGATTCATAAGACGCTTTTTTCGAACAAATGAATTTAAAGAAAATAGGTAATATATCAACTATTAATAGAACAAATAACTAATAATACCTGCTTCTAGAACTAACCTCAATGAACCAGAATAAGCCACAAAAACATAAGATGACATGGATGTACACATAGTTTTATATGATAAACCATGTATGATAAGTGTAATGACAAAAGTAGGTATATAATTTGTTAAAATGGGCGTAGCTCTACAAAATTTCAATCAACATCCTGAACATCTGCATCTGCATGTCAGGCTCTAAGAATACTGGTTAAAGTAGAATTTTTACTTTACTGGCAAAAGCCTTCAATATTGATTAAACAAGAAGTTTTAAAAAAATGTAAAGTCCTGCAAAGCATTACCAAATTTGTTATTAGACATGGAGGAAAATGTTCCATGCACATGGGTATAATAAAATTTGAAAGTATTGTGGAACAGGAAGTGACTGGCTGGCAGATCTAAAAATCCTTTACAACTACAAACTCCTTGAGTGGGAGTATACAAAAGACACTGATAATATAATTGAGTTATACTTCGAAAATATATACAAAATGTATTAACAAACGTACCACGAACGTGTTCATGTGACGAGTAAAACCACAAAAGTTGATTCTATTACAGTATATAAAGTTTTATGTGAATACAAAATGGCTGCTAGACAGGGTGGAAATGCATATGATCAGAGAGATGCAAATCTCAGCGACTGGACCTGCTACCAACATGCACATATGCATATGACAGATCTAACAAAGTTTTAAGTTTCATGTTGAGAAAGAGTTGCAATGACAAGTCAGAATCAAAATTAGGCAAAAATTAAAATACCAATAGACATAAATTTATATTGCTATCTTACAAGAAAATTTTCTAAGACTAATTGGGTCCTTATAAGGATAAATATTTCCAAGTTTAAAGGGGAACAATCTAGATAAACTCTGGTAATGTTTCCATAACTATCACATATACTTTACCTTTCATTTAGTTAAGGAAACATGAAGACCATTTTTAACAGGTTTTGAAGAAAAGGGCCATAACTCAATTCAATATCAACTATTACAAGGTTATGTAAATTAAATCATGGAATCTTTAGCAATTCTATAAAGGAGTTATGATGACACTTCGATAGATAAAGTGATTATGGTATCAATCATAACTTTAATAAAAATATCATACATTTCATATTAAATTAACTTTACTAAAATCATTTTCCAAGATACTTTAGAACATTTCTTTAAAAAAAACCATTTTCATACCATTGCATTGTTCAATTCAATAGAAATTTAATTGCATCTTTTCCCCTTCATTTGAAATTTGAACAAAGCATCTTTCTTGTCAACATATACAGAGTATTTTATTTTCAACACTACATCTTTGGTTATGAAATTATTGATTCTAAGACAAACCATTTTGCTTCTTCAATGACTTCACCAGAGAACAGTGAATGGTGAATAAAAATGTATGAAACAGTTTGTCAATTTAGTGCTTGGATGATGCAAAAGATGCTGAATCTACACACAGGGGAATATAAAAGTCACTGATTCCATTTACCAGTAGTTTTATGATTCCATACACCAAATATAGACCTATTTCTTATAGTATCTGAGAAACAGACCTAACCATGAAAACTTCACTTAGATCACTGAATCATGAAATGAGGTCAAGGTCAGGTGAACCCTGGCAGACATACTTGTACACCTTATATTCATTCCATGCACCAAATACAGGTGACCTATTGCTTATATTATCTGAGAAACTGAACAGACCACAAAAAATCCGACATGAAGACCTTGTAAGGATCTCAAAATACAATTATTACTCATAATAACTGATAAATTCATGTTTAAAAAAACAATACAGGTTTTTAAAGTAGTTGATGAACCTTGAAAATGAGGTCAAGGGCTATGGACATATGATAGACAGAAAATTAGTAACATAAGGCATAATTCATGGCAGCCGTATATTTATTTTCATTTAACCATTTAACTGATTCTAATAGGACAAATACAGTAATTTTGTCAATCGTGAAAGCCCTATACACACGATACTGTTTTGGCTGTTCCCTTTTACCCCTCAAATAATAATATTAATAATATAATATAATTCAATAATGAAAATTTCTCTTGTATAAGCAATATTATTTAAACTAACGTTAGACTGAAGGTGATGGATTTTAATTTTATGGGGTACTGAAATACCAAAGAAGTGTGTGTTCTACTAACACCACATTTGTCACACTAGAAAACTCTTGTTTAATCAACATTTATTAAGTGTAGACATTGTTAATACTTACATGGAATAGAATAATTGTTTATATTCATCATCTCCTTGGTTGTCCATTGTGATGAACTGATCCAACTTCTCTATAATCTCTTTTTCAACCTGAAATTACATTGAAAAAAACTGTCTAATGGTCATATATTTTGTAGAACATTTTAAATGTACATACTGGTATAGAATTGTGTAAATGCTTACAAATCTTAAGTAATAAAAATATCTAGGAGGCTGGAATGCCACAGACTCCCTTTGAATTCAAGACATCAATTGCCATGATTTCTTAAGTAAAGTTAGTTTTACAAGTTATATGAAAATACTTCAAACCATGATGACATTATCAATCACCTGTATTTCCAATCCATATGACAATGAAATTTGGGTACGTGTATCTATAGAGTAAATATAAATAAACAACTGAAGCTTAGCACACAGTCTTGAATTCAAAATCAAATTATGAATAATTCCTGGATGTGGACAGTTAAAATTAAATGCAGCAAAATTAACCATGTTTGTTTCTCAATAGAATTTTCAGTACTTTTTATTCACTCTTCTCTTAACATCTGAATCAGAATACAGTTGACATCATATTATTAATCTTGCTTTCCATTATGTTTTTGCTTTTCACATGTTTGATGATTAAATTTTTGCATAAAATATTCTAACAAGATGGGGCCAACTTTCATGAAAGACAACCCTTGTTAAAAGTAGAGAGAAGGAAGATAACAGATCATCAACAATAATACATACCATAACAAAATTTCCACTTGTTTTCTGTTCACATTGTATCATATCATAAAATATTGGAAGAGTTGCTGCCCTGAGTTCTTTTTCTGGAACCAAAGTCACTTTGAGGAATGGTCCAATCATGGATGGAATGAAATGTCTTCTATTGGTCCCTGTAAAATATAGAAATTGGATTGTTAATAAGAGGTTCTAAAAGAGCCTATACCGCTCTCCTGGATCTTTGTGCATTTCCAACAATGGTCACTCTCCAATATTAAAGACTGAATGTTTTACATTTTGTCATGTCAGGGCCTTTTGTAGCTTGCTATGCTGTATGGGTATTGCTCATAGTTGAAGGCTCTATGACATTTGGTCTCTGGTGGATAGTTATCTCATTGGCAATCATACCACATCTCCATATTCTATACATGTATTAAGAATATAATTCATAACTAAAATCTATTTTTTTGTTGACCTTGTATTACTGATAATTTCTTCTGTGTTCAGTTTCTCTCTATCTACTATAGTTTTTGCCCAAATTACAAAAAAAACAAAAAAATCAAGGCAATAATTTTAATAAAAAAATGGACTTACAATTTCAGCTTTGTTGGCCTATTGATAGATCTTGTCTTGCTGATAATTTTTGCTGTTTACAGTTTCTCTTTATTTTCTATACTTTTTGCCCAACACATAAAAAAGGGTTAAAATCTTCATTTTAAGGGCAATAACTCCTATTATAAGTTAACGGATAATTTCGCCAATGTTGACTCATTTGTAGATATTGTCTTGCTCATCATTTTGATTTGTTTACAGTTTTTCTTTACCTATCATAGTTTTTGCATAATAATTAAATATGGGCCCCCATTCATTCTTGTGCATTTGATTGTATTCACAGTAGATTTATTTTTCTGCAAGAATTTGTAATTGTAAGAGTCACCGTGTGATGATTTCACAACAAGGCTTTCATAATTTTACTTCAACTTGTAAAACTACCTTAAATGCCTATAAACTAAGGAGCACTTTACATTGAACTGGGTGAAAATATCTCTTTTTGTTTGAAAGTTCTGCTATATTTTCGGCAAAGTATTGAAATGTGAAAAATTGTGTTTTTACAATATTTAGGCCAAATCAACCGAATAATATCTTGAAAAGTAAGTCATGAAGATATATATTTCCATGCATATTTTGATAGTGCATATCAAAATCGACCTTTGTGTAACCTCTGTGGAAAATCAATGTGCGATCTCTTCTGTATTGCATGTCCTTAACTTGTTAATAAAATGCTTTGCCAAGCGCAGCCTGATACGACCACAGAGGTCGAACCCTTAACTGTTGGGGCAAGTTTGGACACAATATTCAAGCTTGATACTGTCTGAATTTGGATTGTGATCAAATTTTTGACATAATATAGGTTTCTGACACAAAATAAATGTGGTCAAAGATCTTAAAAATTTGAAATGGGACATTTAATTTATCTAGTATGGTCTAAAATCCAAAATCTAACAACATGGTTAGATTCAGCATACAAAAAAAACACCAAAAAATTTAATTTTAGTTGAAATCATACAAATTTTAATTTTGGACCCTTCAAACCTTAATAAAGACTTATTTGAAAGCAGGACCCAAAATAAAAAAATCTAAATGCGCAATAAGATTCAGCATATCATAGAGCCGCAATAATTCAGTTTTTGATGAAATCAAACAAACTTTAAATTTTGAACCCTTTGGACCTCAATGTAGACAAATTTAAAAATGGGGCCCAATATTCAAAATTGTAATACAAGGTTAGAACCCCCAAAAATTAAAGACTTTAAATCAATCCCATTGAAATTGGTTCAAAGATTTGTATTTATTTTCAATTGAAGGGGGGTCTCATTGGGGGGTTCTGATCCTGGATCCCGCTTACTGTTTTGTCAGATTCCCGTATCCCGCTTACACTATGTACGTAAGCAATTCTCATTTTTTAGTAATTTCCCTTGTCCCGCTAGACTTCATTTTCTGTTTTTCACGGCACAATAATTTGACTTTCACGTGTCACGCTTACAAAAAATCGGCAATCCCGCATCACACTTAGACCCTAATGAGACCCACTTGAAGATTTCTTGCTATTGCCCAATACAGTGCTATTGCGCAATACTGTGCTATTGCACAATACTTAATCTATTATATATAATAATTTACACACCCTGTTTGGTGTGCATCTCCTGCCATATCAGTATTTGTTGTTTTTATATATATATATCAGAAATAATCAATGTAAAAATGGAAAATTTTTGGGAAAAAAAAACACCCAAAAATTATGAAAAAAAATCCCCCCAAAACATTTGTCCCCACCCCCCCCCCCCCCCCCCCCAAAAGAAATTTTGAAAAATTTTGAAGAAAAAAATATGAACCCCCCAAAAATGGAAACCCCCCCCCCCCCCAAATTTTGAGGAAATTTTGAAGATTATTTTCTTTTAAGGAAAAATGTACAATTTCAGAAAGTTCCATAAACTTTAACACAAGTTATTGTTTTGGAAACTAGAAAAATGCTTGTTTTTGGCACCTTTTTTGCCCCTAATTTCTAAACTTTGGGGCAATTACCCCCAAACTCAATCCCAGCCTACCTTTGAGGTATCGAACCTTGTAGTACAATTTCAGAGAGATCCATACACTTAAACACAAGTTATTGTCTGGAAACTAGAAAAATGCTTGTTTTTGGCCCTTTTTTGCTAATTCCTGAATGTTTGGGGGCAATTAACCCCAAACTCAATCCCAGCCTTCCCTTTGAGATATGGAACCTTGTGGTACAATTTTAGAGAGATCAATTCACTTACACACAATTTATTGTCCGGAAACTACAAAAATGCTTGTTTTTGGGCCATTTTTGACCCCTAGTTCCTAAACTGTTGGTACCATAACCCCCAAAATCAATCACAACCTTCCTTTTGTGGTATTTCATAGAGATCCATTCACTTAAACTTAAGTTATTGTACGGAAACCAAATGTGTCTTCGGACGACGACGACATGATAGCATTATACGAACGAAAATTTTTTGCAGTCGTATAAAAAGAAAAGCTATATTTTTCTAATATTCTTACCTAATTTTTCCCACAATGTCTGTATCTGATGTCCCATCATTATTCTCATATCATGATACCTGAGGAAAAAAAAACGTTAAATATTTACTTTACTATTAATCAGCAATAGAACTCTTTTGAATATTACAATTATCAGATGATGTGTATCCTGTCTTCCTCAGCAAACGATTTTCTACCAGGTGTAAAAAAAAATTCTCTTTTAGGTACAATAATGTTTAGAGATTTTGTATATCTAAACAATGGGATACAGATGATGCCCCCGCTTGCATATAACATTATAAAGGGTCATAACTCAAGAACGGTACAAGTGACGGCACCCATATTCACACTTGATCTGAGTTTTGTGGTAATAAGCATTGTGTATAAATTTCATAACATTTGGTTAAGGTAAACTTATGTTAGAAAACAGAAACGAAAAATTCAACAATTTTTCCATTTGTAAAGGGCATAACTCTAGAACAGTAAAAGTGACACCACCCTAATTCAAACTAGATCTGTGCTTTCAGGTAATAAGAATTGTGTATAAATATCATAACATTTGGTACAGGCAAACTAAAGTTAGAGAATAGAAACCAATTTTGGGACATACTGTCATACAGACATACAAACGGACAAGGCCTAACACTTAATGTCCCCTTAAATGCGGCGGGTCATAAAAAATCAATCAATTTCATCATGCTAATTAAAACTAGCAAGATGAACAATGACAATGTAATATAACAATTTGTATTTTAATATACCTTTCAATAAACTTATTCCTTTTACTTTCTGAATATTCCTCTAACTGAAGACTGGGTTGTACTATAAAGTTCACTGCAAGTCTAAAGTATAGGTTCCATAACTGAAAGTACAAATAAGATAAATCCACAAGGTATACCATGTACGAAAAAATTCAAATATTACATGAATATTTAAGACAATAACATGTTAGTATGTTATGAATATTTGTCTCTTTTGATGTTTTTCAATAATTTTGTCAAATGATATATTGGATAAAAAAGTTCAATAAATGCATATTCAAAGGTATTTACAATAATTTATAACACTTAAACTGCCAATCACCTTATAAACACTCTCAGAGTCTGAACAAGTGTCTAATGATCAATTGTATGTGACTCATATCAGGGGGGGGGGGGGGTAATTCTGTTCTTAAACGGGAAGATAAGCTGGTCTACTACATCAGACAAGAGATGATTTCAAGGCTTAGTTGTCAAATATTAGCAAAGGTTATTTATTTCACTAATTTGTAAGTGATTCCCCCCCCCCCCCCCCTATATAAGTTCAAGCAGTAGCAAAGCTTACATTTACCAGATAATAAGGCAAAGTGAAACAGAAAGACAACATTATCTTAATGAAACATATTCTGGTAAAAAATATCAAACAGCCAGCGGATGAGAAAATCAAATCAGAAGAATGGATACCACAGGTGCAGACGTCTTGTAAGTAAAAGTCACAAATATTTTGTGGATTTATCACTGAAGGAGACTCTTCTCAGAATTTAAATTGTCTAGCACATAGTTTTTTCAATTTATTTTATACAATATGTTAATGCATCACACAAGAATACATTAAACATATTTCCATTTAAAGACCTTTGGAAATTAGCCCAGAATTTTTTCCAGAATTTGATTGAGACATTTCTTAGTTGTGTGTCTAATTTATGTTGTACAATTTTGACATTTACCATACAAATCATGTATTATTTGCAGTGGTGTAGCTGCAGTGTATCATTGTAAGCATGTGCCTACAAATAATTTTAGCAATTTGTTTTTTTCAATAAGAATTTCACTATAATCATTCAGCTTCAGACCCACCTTACAATTCATTTTCCAGTGGCTGAAATAATAGAGAGGGAAAAACCTAACATAACCATACATATCAATAAACTTACATGTTGGTCAAAGTACTCTCCTTCCAGGAAATGGTTCTTTAAAGCTTGGGAGAAATATTCAACAGCAGAAAATATCACACTGAAAAATACATAGTGACATAATAATACTTTTAAGTAAGAGAAAAGATTATAACTTGATTATTTCGTAGTGTCATTGATTCCTATTTTTGATTATGAAAATTGAGCCTTTTTTCAGAAAAGTTGCAAAATATTTTTTATACATGTAATTTTCTTTAAAAATTGTACAAAATGAAGATATCAAATTTATTAATTTGTTTATTTCTGAACTTATCCATGGTCTTGATTATTAAAAAATAAGTTAATATCTGGGCTATCGTAAGTATGTCAATGAGGGATGTTTCACTGATATGAAAAATACATACTTATTGGTCTCCATTCTCATTATGGTCCAATCTGCTGATAACATTTCTGGTTTGATTAATTCTTGGAATGTATGTAAAACCTGAGTAAGGAAATCCTGAAAAAGAAAGTTTCTAATGCAACTTTTATGTAACAATTTTTTTCATTGGCTAAAAGTTACCGTCAAATCCACAGTTGACCAGTCGTAACTAAGGATGGATCCGCCATTTTAAACTCATGGATCAACAAATGTTCGATTACTACAATATTATTGAAAATAAAACAACACCTAACTAAAAAAACGCCGGTTTGATGTGATTTTATCCAAATTTGAATCGTAGAAGTAACGAAATAACCTTCAGTTTGTAAGTTTTCATTTGTATGACGTCATGATTTGCCATGACGTCTTTGCGCCAAAATCATTCATAAAGTTTCGCTGAATTTTATTTTATTTAAAATTTATTCATTTTTTCAAGCTCTAACGTATTATTTCTTTTTGTTATGCATTAGAATCGGAATAACAGTACTGTAGTTGAAGAGTTGCCACCGTCAATTTTGATTTGACGGTCGCAAATCTCCGTTTTACTGTTTCCGCTACGCGTCGTCAGTAAAATTGCATTTGCGACCGTCAAATCGCCAATTGACGGTGGCAACTCTTCAACTACAGTACTGTTATTCCTTAAATAACCTTAGTAATTATCATCATTTCTCCATAAAATGGATGCTGATAAATGTACACATTTACTTTTAGAATGATTTCTTGATTTAAATGCTTCAGATGAATACTTTGCATATATGCATCAATTTGGATCACTACCAATATTGACTTACATTTTGAATTGTGAGCCAGGATGTTAATTTCATTAAAATGACAATTGCATGTTCAATCTACCAGACTCTCTCAAAGTTCTTCTACACAGCCACAAAACAGTACAGTACTATGTACTGCCAAGAGAAATAACTTGTTTCAAACAATATGATTTGAGATATTTCTAACACATTTATTTAAACAATATTACACATCTAGGTTGCAATTCTGTAGATATAGACAATGAAATTTCCCATAGGAGCTCCCTTTGTGGCTAAAACTGTGCCACTTTTACTTAGAAGTTTCGTGAAAAATTATATCCCAGAACGGAAAGTTGATATGCACTACTATTTTATTCAAAAGTCAAAATATATGGCTGTGCGGCATATTTTCAACATTTATATGCCCTGAACTTCTAAGAGTTTAAACTTATACTAAAATTCTATACTACCCCTACCTCCACTTTTGGACCTCCTAATAATTAAATTTTAGGCGCAACCATTTTTTCTATACTGGTAACAATCTCAAGTTATGTCTCTATGAGATGAAACACAGAGATCATATCTGGGAACCAGTACGTTAACAAATTAACATATCTATGAAATTATATATCTCCCCCAAAAGAGGCGTGGCTTGTGAAACAGCTGTATTTGCAAAGTGCAACCTCTAATGCTGATTAATGTTGTATATAAGAATTTTGACCTCTACTGGATCCTAAATTTATTCTGAATCTAAAGGTTTTAGGAACCATTAGCCATTTCGATGAAATATTTTATATAAATATCAGTTGTATGTCATGAACAGTTTGGTAACTTATGATTAATTTTACTCATACTAATTTTTTGTGAAAAGGGCTGTAGCTGTGTTTTATTTTGTGAATTGCCATACAATAGGGTGTTTCACCCATAAGATCCCCATGAAATAATAATGGACCAGGAGTATTACTTTTAAAGGTGGTCCTTTGGGATGAATCTGTATCACAGCTGTATAATGAGTTTCTTCCATCAGACGTAAAAGTTCTGTCAAACAAGCTACCATCTCACCCTGAAATATTCAACAGATAACTTAAAATCTGTGCCAGGTAAATACCTATTTCATCCTGTGAAACATTGCAGAAAATTCATGAATATAAACCCGAAACATTTACCTTATACAGGTATGTTATATGTGATATTATTCACACAGACAAAAATCCATGAAATAACTTATAATAGCTTCTTAAAATGGCTGACTATTAACTTTATCAATAACTTCAAGATGATCAGTATATATTATTTATTTCACTAATTTATAAGTGATTCCCCCCTGATATAAATTAAAGTAAATAAGGCTTACATTTAACAGATAATAAGGCAAAGTGAAACAGAAAGACAACAAGTTAGAATTGTAGAAAAAGACAGCATAGTGGTAAGAAAATTCATTTAGCAATAAAAAAAACACAGAAAAAAAAATTGCTTTCATTTCTTGCATAAGTAACTAGTGACATAGTGCAGCAATAATTAAGAGTAGGAAATAATGCATAATCTATTTTTTAACAGAAATTTCCATGAATAACTATGCTGACAGAAAAAAAACTATCGATGGAGAAAAAAATCTTAAGTTACATGCATGCATACATCACAATAACAGTTAAGTGCAAACTATCTTGCGGTTTGATGGTCTTCCAGAACAAATATTCCTAAATGTCACCATTTAATAACAATACTTATTATACATTCACTGGCCTATTAGTATTTCAAAATTCATGTTAATATCATCAATGTGTGTTTAAGTTGTTAATACTTAAATCAACTCCTGTTAATATAATTCATTAGATTTTGTTAATATCATTGCGTTAATACTTCAAAAGACATCCAACCTCTACATAACCAGTTAACCATCTAAAACTATTCTTTCTTGAGCATGCTGACTTAAAAGTCATTTAGTTTTGGCCATTCTAAATTTCTCAGTTTATCAAACAAAATGTCAAGATGTTTGTCATGTGTAGAGGGGAGATAACTCACGGTTTAATGATTCTCGTTGCTCAGTAGAATAATCATACATGAATGTATTTAATGGAATTTCATGCTACAGACTTCTCCACAACAAAGCAAGCAAGCATTAATTTTTTTGTAATATCAAAGAAAGAGAAGTCTGATTGATATCTTTGGGTTTAAGCTACTAAAATTTGCAAGTTACAAAAATTGTATTTCTCTTTCCAAAATCAAAATTGTTTTCTTGAAAATTTTTGTACAGAATATTAACTCTCATTAAACAAAGAAAGGAAAATTTTGTAATGCTTCACAAAAATTATGGAAAAATCTACTAAACAGAGACAACTTGACATTTTGCAAATTAAACTTTCTGACATTGAGAACAGTACAAGCCACCAACATGCATTTAATCTGCATGCAGATGCAGAATATCTAAAAGTTTTACACAGTATGCTTGTGGATCATCATTAAATGGTAGACTTTGAAGCTGTGATGGCAACAGTTGTATGGTTAAACGTCGTGGTGATTTTGCTGGCAATGTCTTACTTTTATCTTCTTCTGGCTTCAAGGTTAAATGTCAAAGGTCAACAGTACATATCAATATCAATATTAATTCAGGAAAATGATATTAAACTTGTTTAAGACATTGACATCAACTATTAAAATATTTCATGTATTTCATCATTAAACTGTTTGAGGACAAAATAAGTAATCTATTGGTTCTGTATCTGTATCAAACCTTTCCAAATCACTTTGTTCAATCCAAAATAATAAAACTTCTATGATGAACAGATACAAGAAGTAAGTTTAAAGTATGTGGACCATAATCAAATACTCTAAATGATCTAACCATATGTTATTTACTTATTTTGGACATATTTAATGATCCTGTAAAAGAGCAACATAAACTTATTGAAATCTCTCTAAGTAATGAATATTTGTTTTCCAAGTTTTTCTTAAATTACCGAAGTCATGAAGTGTGCTTTGAACAGATCATATATGTCAGTTTTATATACAAAAGATGATATTCAAATAAATTAAAGCTGTTCCTATGGTAACAGAAATTTTAATAAGGAAAGGAAAAAAAGTTGATTTTGCAGAATTTGAATGTTAATGGAAAATAACTTCCAAACAGTAGGTGCTGCCATCTTCAACCTTAATCTTTAACTGTATATTAAGATGAATATCAGTAATGTCCAATATAGTAAGGATTTTGAAAAAAAAAATCAAGTTATCATCTAGAAACCATTACATCTTAACTAAAGTAAAAACAAATAGACAACCATACAAAAATGGCATCTAAATGCTATTAAAAATTGACAAAAAGAAAGATTTTTATAATTTTCATTATCATAAAATCTATTTGGAGACTACAGATGGCAAGTGTTGGCAAGGTCAATGACTGAGGCCATTCCCCAATGTCTAGATGATAACTTGACATTAAAATTTAAAAAATTCGTAAGGGTTCCGCGGAACCCAGTGTCTCGCCTACTTTTTGCTGTTAATCACAGGCTCAGCAAAAATGAGGAAAAAAATTAATAAAAATATTCCTCTCTATACTATCTTTTGATTGTAAGTAGCTTCTGTCCAAGTTTGGTAAAAATCCAGGATAGTTTATGAATCTAATAAATGTTTTAAAAACTTAAACTGCAGACTGTATGTAATGTTAACTGGAAGAAAAACTAAGTCCATTTATAAGTAAAATACGGAAAAAATGGAACAAAATTTCCTTCTAGATACTAGCTTTTGATCATAAACAAGCTTCTGTCTAAGTTTGGTACAAATCCAGGATAGTTTAAGAAAGTTGTTAAAATTTTAAAAACTTTAACCACAGAGTGAATGTAATGTTAACTGGCAGAAAAACTAAGTCCATTTATAAGTAAAATACGGAAAAAATGGAATTTTTTTTTTACAAAATTTACTTCTGGATACTAGCTTTTAATCATAAACAAGCTTCTGTCTAAGTTTGGTACAAATCCAGGATAGTTTAAGAAAGTTGTTAAAATTTTAAAAACTTTAACCACAGAGTGAATGTAATGTTAACTGGCAGAAAAACTAAGTCCATTTATAAGTAAAATACGGAAAAAATGGAATTTTTTTTTTACAAAATTTACTTCTGGATACTATCTTATGATCGTAAACAAGCTTCTTTCCAAGTTTGGTAGAAATCCAGGATAGTTTAAGAAAGTTATTAAAATTTTAAAAACTTTAACCACAGAGTGAATGTAATGTTTCCTGGCAGAAAAACTAAGTCCATTTATAAGTAAAATACGGAAAAAATGGAATTTTTTTTTTACAAAATTTACTTTTGAATATTATCTTATGATCATAAACAAGCTTCTGTCCAAGTTTGGTAGAAATCCAGGATAGTTTTAAGAAAGTTATTAAAATTTCAAAAACTTTAACCACAGAGTGAATATTTGTGGACGCCGCCGACGACAACGACGAAGACGGAATGTAGGATCGCTATGTCTCGCTTTTTCGACAAAAGTCGAAGGCTCGACAAAAACAAAAATGCGCTCCGCCTAGAGCAGCTGGATACGACCGCAGAGGTTGAACTCTGAACAGTTGGGGCAAGTATGGACACAATATTCAAGCTTGATACAGCTCTGAATTTGGATAGTGATTAAATATTTGACACATTATAGATTTCTGACACAGAATAAATGTGGTCAGATAACTTAAAAATTTGAAATGGGACATTTAATCTACTTAATGGTCCAATATCCAAAATCTAATTCCATGGTTAGATTCAGCATATAAAACTAGAGGCTCTCAAGAGCCTGTGTCGCTCACCTGTATTTACTGATGCTTTGGAAATGATGTAAAATAAGGTTAAAATCATAATTAATAGTATTAGATATTAGATATTATAATGATATCTAAGATAATAACAAAAAACTGCAAAATTTCTGTAAAATAACAAACTCAGGGAGGGGCAGCAACCCAACAACGGGTTGTCGGATTCGTCTGAAAATTTCAGGGCAGATAAATCTAAATCTGATGAACATTTTTGCCACCTGTCAGATTTGCTCTAAATGCTTTAGTTTCAGAGATATAAACCCAAAACTGCATTTTACCCCTATGTTCTATTTTTAACAAAGTCGGCCATGATGGTTGGAAGGCGGGGTCATCGGACAAATTTTTTAAACTAGATACCCTAATATTGATTATGGCTAAGTATGGTTAAATTTGTCTCAGTAGTTTCAGAGAAGAAGATTTTTGTAAAAGATTACAAAAATTTACGAAAAATAGTTAAAAATTGACTATAAAGGGCAATAACTCCTAAAGGAGTTGACTGACAATTTTGGTCCTGACGACTTATTGCTGTTTACAGTTTATCTCTATCTATCATAATATTCAAGATAATAACCAAAAACTGCAAAATTTCCTTAAAATTACCAATTCAGGGGCAGCAACCCAACAACAGGTTGTCAGATTTGTCTGAAAATTTCAGGGCAGATAGATCTTGACCTGATAATCAGTTTTACCCTATCTCAGATTTACTCTAAATGCTTTGGTTTCAGATATATAAGCCAAAATCTACATTTTACCCCTATGTTCTATTTTTAGCCATGGTGGCCATCTTGGTTGGTTGGAGGGGTCATCGGACACATTTTTTAAACTGGATACCCTAATGATGATTGTGGCCAAGTTTGGTTAAATTTGGCCCAGTGGTTTCAGAGGAGAAGATTTTTGTAAAAGCTAACGACGACGGACGACGACGACGACGGACGCCAAGTGATGAGAAAAGCTCACTTGGCCCTTCCGGCCAGGTGAGCTAAAAAAACAACATGAATTCAAACAAAGATAAATTTTGGACCCTTTGGACCTTAATATGGACTAATTTGAAAACAGGGCCCAAAATAAACAAGAGTGCACACGCTGAAATGTCTCACCTTCTTTACTAATCATTGATATTATGTTGATAGTCCTAAATAAAAAGCTTTATTACAACTGTCACATAAACTTAACATTAACCAAGTAAACTAAACATTGACCAATGAACCATGAAAATGAGGTCAAGGTCAGATGAACCATGCTAGGCAGGCATGTACAGCTAACAATTCTTCCATACAACAAATAAAGTTGACCTATTGCTTATAGTTTAAGAAAAACAGACCAAAACACAAAAACTTAACACTGAGCAATGAACCTTGAAAATGAGGTCAAGGTCAAATAAAACCTGCGTGACTGACAAATAGATCATAAAATATTTTCATACACCAAATATAGTTGAACTATTGCATATAGTATTAGAAAAAAAGACCAAAACTCAAAAACTTAACTTTGACCACTGAACCATGAAAATGAGGTCAAGGTCAGATGACACCTGCCCGCTAGACATGTACACCTTACAATCATTCCATACACCAAATATAGTAGACCTATTGCATACAGTATAAGAAAAACAGACCAAAACACAAAAACTTAACTATAACCACTGAACCATGAAAATGAGGTCAAGGTCAGATGACACCTGCCAGTTGGACATGTACACCTTACAGTCCTTCCATACACCAAATATACTAGACCTTTTGCTTATAGTATCCGAGATATGGACTTGACCACCAAAACTTAACCTTGTTCACTGATCCATGAAATGAGGTTGAGGTCAAGTGAAAACTGTCTGACGGGCATGAGGACCTTGCAAGGTACGCACATACCAAATATAGTTATCCTATTACTTATAATAAGAGAGAATTTAACATTACAAAAAATCTTAACTTTTTTTTCAAGTAGTCATTGAACCATGAAAATGAGGTCAAGGACATTGGACATGTGACTGATGGAAACTTCGTAACATGAGGCATCCATATACAAAGTATGAAGCATCCAGACCTTCCACCTTCTAAAATATAAAGCTTTTAAGAAGTTAGCTAACGCCGCCGCCGCCGCTGGATCACTATCCCTATGTCGAGCTTTATGCGACAAAAGTCGCAGGCTCGACAAAAATCTGAATGCACAGTTAGATTCAGCATATCATTATATATGAACCACAAGAATTCAGTTTTTGATGAAATCAAACAAAGTGTAATTTTGGACCCTTTGGACCTCAATGTAGACCTATTTAAAAATGTCCAAATATCCAATACATGTATAGTAATACATGGTAAAAACCTCAAACAATTCAAGACTTTTAATTAATCCTCATTGAAATTGGTTAAAAGATTTGTATTTATTTTCAATTGAAGATTTCTTGCTGTTGTGCAATACTTTGCTGTTGCGCAATACTTAGTAAATCTGTTTACAAACTAAATATATTAATTTACACACCCTGTTTGGTGTGTATCTCCTGCCATATCAGTATTTGTTGTTTCTTTACATAGATCAGAAATAATTTATGTTAGAACCAGCTTAGCCAGTATTAGAAAAGTCTTGTTTTTGGCCCCAATTTGGCCTTTAGTTTCTTAATGATTAAAGCCACAACCCACAAAATCGACCCAAACCTTCTGTGTGTGGTATGGAACCTTGTGGTACTATTTCATAGAGATCCATTGACTAATACTTAAGTATTTGTCCAGAAAACCAGAAAAACCCTGTTCCTCCCCCCAAATTGCCCCTTATTCCTGAACGGTTTGAGCCATAACCCCCAAAGTCAAACCCAACCTTCCCTTTGTGGTATGGAACCTTGTGTTTCAATTTCATAGAGATCCATAGACTAATACAAGTAATTGTCCATTAACCAGAAAAACCTTGTTTTTCCCCCCTTTTTTTGCCTTAATTCCTGAACAGTTTGGGCCATATCCCCCAAAGTTAATCCCAACCTTCCCTTTGTGATATGGAACCTTGTGGTACAATTTCATAGAGATCCATACACTTATACACAAGTTATTGTCTGGAAACTAGAAAAATGCCTTTTTTGGCCCCTTTTTGACCCCTAATTCCTAAAGAGCTGGGACCATTACCCCCAACATCAATCCCAACCTATTGTGCTATTGAACCTTGTGGTTAAATTTCATAGAGATCCATTCACTTATACTAAAGTTATTGTCCAGAAACCAAATGTCATCGGACGACGACGACACCATGATAGCAAAATTTTTTGCAGTCGTATAAAAATAACTAAAGTAATGTACATTTGCTCATGTGACCTTCATCTTCTGGCATATGATCAAACTCCTTAAGATATACTGTACACCATACTATATATGCAGTTATCAGTTTCTGACAAATATACCAGTGGATGCAAACAAAGAAATTGATGCCAAAGTTATTTTAATAGTCCCCACCTGAGGCTGAATAGTAATCCTGAACATAGAACAACTATAGTAACCAGATGACAAAATATGTAAAAATGGCTTTTGTCAGGAGTGTAAGGTAGAAGGTCATCTCAAAATGTATGAAAATGTTATGGTGAAGAAAGTTTACAAGAGACTGTTTAGCAAATTCAGAACAAAAAACAACATTAAAAGAAAAAGTAAGAATAAAAGTTATAACATAATCTGATAAAAGAAAATGTTGAGAATTTTTTTTTTTCATTACAGATAGCTATCTTTTTATTAATTTCTTCTTTAAAATATTTCAGATGATGAATAAATATTGGATATGAAGACACAACAACACATGTTTAAGTTGGGTTAGAAGATAGAAGTTTTATGAATAACAAATTTTCAATCAAAAGTTGATGATCATGAAAGTTAATTATTTAGCATTATAATTATTATAGCAAAACTAACAATGTTCAGAGGTTCACAAAAGCTGACAGAGTTATATAAAAGTTTCTGGATAGTAATTTAAATTCAAACCATACAAGAAATTTAGGTGTATCATCTTTGGTTGTAATAACTTCAGAAGAAGGTCGACTAACTCCTTGAAACAGAGTTCGACTTCGTCTACTTTTTCTATCCAAGGTAGAACATGGACTACTATTTTCTGACATAGTTGGCTTTCTAAGCTAATAAATAATAGATAAATTTCATATGTATTTCAATACCAAAATATAAACAATGTTAAAATTAGACTGAAATTAAAGCAGTTTAACTTAAAATTTAACTTACGGTCCAGTGGCAAAAATTGTACAATTTTCTTTCTTAAAAATCAATGTGTTGTTGTGAGATAACTTTCTGTTTTTAAAGAAGTTAAATAATCATAGGGTCAACAACTTTGTTTTTTGATGTATACACCATTCAAATTGAAGTAATAAAAAAAATTGGTACCCAAATTACTATTTCATATTTAACGAAAAAAATATTTATTTAGCAACAACATATCAATTTCTCAGTTCAACAAATGGTTTGGTTTTTGAGGAAGGATCATTTTGGGACAACTCTTGGAATTTTTTTTTACTGATTTAAATTGCGTTCAAAACAAATATGAAGGTACATCAAATTTAAGCGATTTTATTTGATAATAATAAAAAATTGAAAATGTACACACATTTCTTTTCCTTATTTTTACTTCATGTTTTTTAACAAGCCAAATTTGCATGCAAACTCATAAAAATCTGCACCATATCCCATTTTGAATTTTATAAAATATTTATTTTCAATTTTCTAAAAAGACAGAAACAAAATTCAAAGTTAACTGTAGCAGAGACACCACTGCCAAAGAAAAGTAATTGATACTGCAAAGAGAGACAACTCACCATTACTTGAGGATAACTTTGTGGATTTGATATAAATTCTCCATCAGCCATCCTTGATATACTCTGTATAAGAACTTCAAAGAGGGATAGAGCCAATGTATTGATATCCTGGGATATACTCTTCACCTGAAATAACAGAAAAACTAATTCAAGGTCATCTGGTTTGTATCACTAGAACTGAACCAAGGTCAGACAGTGTTCCATCATGATTTGGTTGGTTCAGTTCAAACTGCATATTGGAAAGCATCAATTACATTGTATATAATCATGCAATTGATGTCTTAATAATAGGCCATGTAAAATTAATTTTCTGGTTCTCAGACACAGCTGTGTAAGCCAAAATCCTTCAGCTGGCTTGTTTTTTTTTTTTCTCAAACCAAAATAAATAGAACGTGTAAAATCTGCATTGTTCAAATTTTACCGCTTTCAAACTAATCAGAGCAATAACTCAGAATTTATTTTTCTGTGAAATGTTTGGGGGACTAGTTATTTGTCTTCTCCATATTGCAATCATGTTGTATTTACTTTGGCTTGGTGCATATTTATCATCCCTTGATATCTTATTCTTTAAAATAAATACTTTTATAATATCATCAAAATTATCAACATGAAGTGATATCCTCCCCCCTCACCATATTTTTAGATGTCACTGTCTGAGAATCAAAAAATATATTTAACATGGCCATACATAGAAAATGTTTGCACTGAATTCAATTGTCCAAAAAAAAAGTTTTTGCTGACTCAGCTGAAATTGATGCCACCAAATACTAAAAATTACAATTTTTAAATTTCTTATTTACAGTATATTGAAAAGTTTAACTTCTTTGAAATTTTGATATAAAGATTAACAAGAATGGACACATAAAATATCTGGCCTACATAATTCCTAACCTGTAAGCAATATCTTACATGTCAAAATCAAAGCCAAATATATCTGACTTACAAAAGGCAATGACAATCACATAAGACACTATAGGTATTAGGTATAAAAGACTACAGATAAAAGGTCTAACTTGGACAATTTAAAACCTGATCCAATCAAAAAACAATATGTCAATAAATGAACCACAAAATTTCAAGGGACAAAAGTCTGACAGGTATGTACACCTTATGTACAATTTTTCAAAAAGACATATATAGTTGACCCATTACATAAACATGTAGATAATGACCAACCAAGGCATGCAGCATTAAGGAATGATACCAAAAACTGGTTTTCTCGTAGTTAGAAAATTGTCCTGGTAGGCTGACACACTACTTGCAGACTGTTACCTTGTGAACTAGCACATCAAAAATCTGGCTCAGCACATTGGTCTAGTACTTAGCTGGGTTCATATTCATATTGCATTAACATGTTCTCATCCAGAATATGCATTTAATTTGCCACTGTACATAAAACACCCATCCATCATCATCATCTATACACAAATTACCATCAACACCAGATTAGCATGCCTATGTCTTGCCATCAGCAATGTTCATTACATGGTAGACAAAAACCGTACAAGAACAAAACAGATTAATCCAATGTGCATACACTGGCTTGAAATATTTCAACTAGTTAGTATGCTTAATTGAGACAAAGACAAAAATATACAACTATAAATGTATTTGTTTTAAACATAATGTTATGCAAAATAAAATAATTATTAGCCAGTCAGTAAATATTCCATAAGCATATTCAAAGCAAAAGCATCTTAGCATGAAATCACAAGGTGGGAAGGGATGTCATGATCAATTAATTATCGAAGATCATTTCCCTGCAAAACAAACATGAGAGCCTTCCTTACACAATATTATGCAGCTTGATTCTAACGTTAAAGAAATGCACACAAAATTAATTAGTGTTTACAACAACAACGATAGGTGACAGGACTTAGTACTTACCATTAGATGTGGTGGACATACTCTTTTTGTCTTAAATTAACAATTAAATTAAATATCATTCTACTGTGGATTCTTTTTTTTTTTGTGGATACCAATTTTAGTGGATTGAAGAAAATTGTATTTTTGTGGATATTGAATTTTGTGGTTTTGTTAAAATTTGCATACAAGCATATGAAAAATGTGTACTTCGTTAAACATTTAAATATGTGTTTTACCCATACCTACAACATCCATGAGAATTGGTGTCCCACAAATGATAATGAAACCACAGTATATCTCAATACAGTTGTAAAGCCTAAGTTAGGGCAATCAACATTGTTTATATGCTTATTAACCTATATTCTCGTTTCATAACTACTTAAAAGGTAAAAGTTTGGGACCTAATCAATTTGCTGTTGGATTTTTGGGCATTTCTACAACAGATAAGTCACTTATATCATTTAATTGTTCCAAAGTATGTGTATCATATGCATTTAGTGACATTTAAGAACAACCCCCACCAGACATGTCCAAAACCAGTTTTTCTGAAGCCATAAAAACAAAACACCCAAAAGCAAAAGCTTCAATCAAAGCCGAAATGCAATGCTTATATTTTACAAACATTCTTTATTTAAGAACAGAAATTGAAATTGTTGACTATGACTTAATTCTATTATTATGAAACAATCAGTGGTATATACAGAAAATACAAAGTAAAAAATGATATTCATAGAAATTAAAAGTTACCAATACATCTGATTGCATAGTACAAAATCTTTATAAAGTCAACTTTACTAAATCTGATAAGTATTTATAAGTAATTTAGTATTAAATGATAATTTTACCTCTTTCAGGTTAAAAAAAATCTCCAGAATATCTCCAAGAATTGAAGTAGCTATCTGTATGTCGAGGAAATATCGCTCTATCAGACATGCTTTTATATGGTTCAAACATAAGGATAATAAAGTACTCCGAGATTCTACAAAAATAAATGTATATTTTTATTTTAGACAAAAGTATATAACCAAAATGTTTATCCTTTAAAAAGATACTTCGTCCTGGAAATAACTAAGCAACTGCTCAAAAATAAGCTTTATTGATGACTATTAAATACTTCACAAAAAAAATGTTCAGCTAATCAACCAACACTTAATCAATTTGCTTAATATACAGATCAATTACTAGTAAATTTTCCAATTATAAAGATTTAAAATCTACTTTATTCTGTATTTATTTCACTGTTTTATGCTATAGAGTGAGAGACCCATATTCGCCCCATAATTCGTTCATTTCCACTTACATCCGACCTACATTCGAATATTTGGAACTTTTTATGAAGGTTTCAGAAATTTAACTATGTGAAAAAAATGTTCGATAAAGAAATTATCTTCAAAACATTGGTTAATTGTTCTAAAAATGAACGCAAACTCAAGAGGAAATCAAGTTGTTTGTGTACCATGGGGGACACATTTTCGCCGCAATGTATGATATGACCATCCTCATTATCCTGGTATATTATAAAAAACGAATGTTTGCAATTACATGAATTAGCTTGAGAGATCATTCCTATATGATTTTTTTCACAAATATTTACTTTAAGACCGCGCATGATTGCCATATAAGTCTTAAATAATTACCAAAATAATTTAAAAACACCTGCGTATTTCTCAATATGTGCGAATAACCTTGGAAATGGGGTAAAGAGGAATATCAACAGTTGTAACATTACAAACAGCCTTTACCATATTTTTAGGCAAGTATTGGGTAAAGGCACACAAATTTTACAGAAAAAATAGCAAAACGGCGAAAATGTGTCCAAGGCGAATATGTGCCACCCACTCTATGTCAATCACACAATAACATTAAAAATATATAATAGAAGCTCCAATTTTCAGTGATAACTATCAATACAATGCTTTGGGGCCCTTTATAGCTTGCTGTTTGGTGTGAGCCAAGGCTCCGTGTTGAAGACCGTACTTTGACCTATAATGGTTTACTTTTATAAATTTTGACTTGGATGGAGAGTTGTCTCATTGGCACTCATACCACATCTCCTTATATCTATTTACTCTTCAAAACCTTTAAAGTGAAATTTGTTTTTAAAGAGGAACATACAAAAACTTGGGAATATAACATAGATGCTGTCTTTACAGTCAACCAAATTGTTTTAAACAATGAAACAGTCCAAAATACGAAATTCTAAAACAGTACCTCCATTATACTTTTGCTTTTGAGCAAACAAAATTTTTATAGTACTTTGAGAACTGCTATATACATTAAGGAAGAAACAGATGTTTATATAAAAAAAGAACAATACCATTCTGGACCCAAGGTACGAAGAACAAGACTCAGTGCCATAAAAATTTGGAAATTATTAAGTGTCAGAATATCATCAATTGTAATAGCTGCAATCAACCAAATTGTATGAATAAGGAGGTTCCCATTGTTTATTAGAAAAATTCTGGGAATAGAATAGATTTATCCTTATAGCTAAGCCAGATATAGCAAAATTTGTGTATGGTGTTTCTCTCTTTTTGGTAGATATTTGAATATAATTATAAGGGGATATTCAGGTATAAAATGCAAAGTTTCCATAATGTTGAAGGAAAACTGTTGGAGTTACACATGACACAAACTGGGTACACTCTTATAGCATTCAATAACAAAAATGACTAAGTTCCTCACATGTAAAACCTGAGAAAATATTGTTCAAATCTGTTCAAAATGGGAGGAGCATTTATTTCATCTATATGTATTCATTATGCTAAGTTGGAAAATTTTGAAAGAAAACTGATAGCCTTTCAGATGAAACAAACTAGGTATCTTCTATGTGTTTTGGAAAGAACAGAGTGAAACAGATACTCATACAGTTAAACATTGCTATGTTAGACTTATTCAACAGCCGATGAAGCCATACCATCATCTCTAAACAGATCAGAGTTGACAGTTTTCTGTATAAATTCCATCTTGGTCCTTCTAATTTCAACAGGTAAATCTTTGGCTTTAGGTAAATGTGTGATCACGTCTCTGACTTGGTCTGCTAATTCTCTTTTGGTTATTAACTCCATCAGGGGTTCATAGCATTTGTGCAGATTTGATAAAAGTTCCATCTGAAAAATTTTATTATTGTTAATTGAAACAAACATACCTTAATTTTTTATATCATCAAATGATAAAATTTAGACTCTGTACGCAACATAGGATGGTGATCTCTATCCTAAACAGTTGCCATTAATATCACTCCATGCAATGCTTCAAACTATGATGACAATAATTGAGGGTGTCCACTCATTTGAGTTCCTAAATGCAAACACAGCCTTGTTGACAATGTTTGACTATGTCCAATCTCAGACTGAGTTCATCAATGTAAACCTAGCTGTGTTGACAATGTTGGACTATGTCCACTGTCAGACTGAGTTCATGAATGTAAACCTTGCTGTGTTAATAATGTTAGACTGTGTCCACTCTCAGACTAAGTTCATCAATGTAAACCTTCGACATATTGACAAGATAAAGAACAACAATAAAGGGGCATTCTTTTTAATATGCTGTCATTTTCAGGTATTTCATGGCATCATATACTACTGTCTCATATCTTTTCTCTCCTGTATTTGATAACAGAAGACTAGAAAGGACTCACTAACTTATGCAGATTGCTGCAGTCTGATTGATTGATTGTTGGCATTTAACACCACTTTCAGCACTATTCCCTATATCCTGGAGGCCAGTTTATATTGGCTGAGGAAGCCAAAGTGCAAAGAGAGAGCTATGACCTTTGATAGGAAAACTGGCAATCCTTGTCAATTAAGTTTAGAGTCGAAAGCATCTGCCACATGCAGTGTTCAAACTCACAACCTCAGTGTTGACAGTGTTTACATGAAGCTTGATACCAAATTTGAAGAAGGTTTGATTTGTAGTTCCTGAGAAAAATGACCAAAATTTTGTGGGAGGGACAGACAAACTGATGAGAATACACATACAAGGACAGATAGAAATAAACCAGTATACCACCCTCCTTTGGAGCGCGGGTATACATGTTGCACCATTAGTGATGCAAATGATTATTTATAATTTTTTTTAGAGTGAAATAATTCTATACAATTGCCAGAAAATCTTACACATTAATTGCTTGACTATTGTGTTATAACACAAAGCTATTAATCTACAAGAACAAATCTTTTCAAAATAGCTATCAATGTGAAAACACACAAACAATAATACCAACACCAACACAAAACCAACATATATCCCACAATCCCAAAGTTTAACTATAAATAATTATGACAAAAACAAAGAACTAAATTTTCAAAGTTCTTATTGTGTGAAAAAAAAAAAGATATTTAACCTTGAGAAGACGCACAACAAAGGGCTTTTAGGGGTGTGCTAAGTTATGGGAAAATGAATCTCACTTTGTACCCCTAAAATTTAACCACATTTGAGAAATCTCGGCTCCAAAACGAGCCATCAAACATATCCAAGTTTACTTCGCCCATCTATATTAAATAAACCATATATAATCAGCATACCTGAGAAATTTTAAGCTTTTCATCCTGTTGTGATAGCAGTCGTCCCATTTTTTCAAACAGGTGCTGAAGTTTTAATCTAAATTCTCTTTCTTTTTCTCTGTCATTAAAAGGGCTACAAAAGACAATAGATTTTAATATAACTATAGAACTGTACTGAAAAATTTTCACCTTAAAGCTTCATAGTTCATATTACTAGAAACTGAATTACTACTACAATGTACTGTGGATTCATTTATTTTTGTGGATACTAATTTTTCTCTGATTGAGGAAAACTCATATTTTTGTGGATATTTGACGTCATGGTTTTGCCAAAATCAGTATAGTAGAAGCCTATAGAAAATGTGTATATCATTAAATATTTTAATTTGTGGCAAACCAAAACCCACGAAAATCACGAAAAATGGTATCCCACAAATACAAATGAATCCACAGTAATATCACTATCATCAGAAAACTAAAATTTGAAAACCATATAAAGTATCACAATCATGATTAACTGCAGAAAAATGTATAGTTATTCTTTTGCTTTAATCCAAAAGAAACTTTAAATCAACAAAGTTCAAGTATTTGATAATAAAAAATAATGGGAATTGACACAAATTAACTATAGTTCAGATGCTAACAAAATATAGCTATAACAGTAACAGTATTTTTACCTTTCCTTTTCTAACTGTCTTGATCTTGTTATAAGTCTCATAAGTTCTCCAAGTACCTACAGTCAAAATCATTTCTTCAAATGTATCTTTAATTTAGATTTTGCATTTCTCACCTATGCAGGTAAAAGTATTACTGTTTGCATAATAAATGTTTTTTATCATATTCTAAACTTTGTATGTTTTCTTTTCCAAATATTTTCCATGAACATGAAACTTGAAGAATACTTTTTTTAAATTAACTATGATTTAGTTTCATCGATATGTCTCATAAGGCCAAAAGCATATACTATATGCATCTCAGTTGCAACCACCTAATCAAAATATTTTCTTATTAATTTTCTTATTTGGAAAAAAGTAATAGCAGGAAATTTGTCATTCCCTGGTTATGAGACAAATTGTGGTCCATGTAATTGAAACATTTTGTAAAAATTTAAAGCACTTCAAGTTTATATCAAATGTGATAAAGCAATTTCATAAATAAATGGAAAATGTGTCTATGGGCCACAGATGCCCCCGCTTGTAAATATGCATGAGTCAACATCCAGATGCAGGATACACGTAGTTAAGACCGTTTTGAGATTATAAGCATTGTGTATAAGTTTCATAACATTTGGTTGAGGCAAACTAAAGTTAGAGAATGGAAAAGAAAAATTCAGCAATTTTAATGTTTTTAAAGGGGCATAACTTATGAACACTAAAAGTGATACCACCCAATTTGGAACTTGATCTGTGTTTTGTGGTAATAAGCATTGTGTATAAGTTTTACAACATTTGGTTGAGGCAAACTAAGGTTAGAGAAAGGAAACCAATTTTGGGGACGTACGCGACGGACGGACAAGGATAACACTTTATACCCCCTCCGCTACGGTAGGGGCATAAAAAAGAGTCAATCTGGGTGGCATCTCCCAGACTCAGCAAAAACTTCAAAATAGGTCTGAGAAGCTATTAATTTTTTGTATGGTCTAATGCATTTAAAAATAATACTTTAAAATGATTCAATTTTTCATTCAAATTCATATTAAAGTTGCCTTTTGACTCATCAACTGAAATCTTATTTCTATTTAAAGTATCAAAGACATAGTATGATAATCTTTTGAAAGCAGATTAATTTATAGCAATCTAAGTTCTAATATGTAAGTTCCTGCATCTTCACTGATTACTTCGTGTAATACTTTGTTTTGTTTGGATATACAACTTCTCGAGGCAATGTCTATATTACTCAATCAGATGTACACTGCTCTAGTTGTAATTTGTTATTGTTTAAATTATGGTTAAAATATTCATCCATTTTTTTCTGCAGCTGGATAAATTCTGCTTGCAAAACATCTATATAAGGAAATGATTTCCTAGTTTCCTTGGTTTCTTGTGGACCAATGGACCAATTAGATAATTTAACTTCTGTCCTAATAAATTGTATTGTTAATCTTAGCATCCTTGTAAATAATACCCAGAATATGAACATTCACAATGTCAAAAGCGGTGACTTATATAAGGTTTCACTATTTGTGAATTGGATAAGTGTATAATTCTTACCTTCATGGCCATAGACAAGGTGAATGCTTTCCCTTCACAGAATTGTTCTATACCAAAAGCAAACTGGTTCATTAAATGTCTGGTGAAAAAAAGTTTGAATTATCATCTGAATGTGAATTTACTGAATAACACTAAGAAAGCCTTTAAAAACTAAACAAAATAAAAATATATTTAACCCTGCAAGATACAGTAGTGTATGTTAAAAGATATGACTATAACATTGGAGTTGTACAGTGATAGGATGCTGGTTTATATTTTCAGCTTATTATAAATATATTATGCCATAGCTCCCCCAATAGTTTCCTCTTTATACACAATACAGTATATGACATATATGTACAAATCATCTTCCATATATTAACTACAGAGCTTCTTTATCTATCCATCTATGACTTTCACTAACATATCTATAATCCTAGTAATTATTTTAAATAAAGCCATCCTTTTGCTACTGGAAAGATAACAGCAAGTCATAAAAAGGGTACAGCTTGATAAAGGAGTTGTGATCAATGACTGTCGTATTTTACCATTAATGCATGTTTGTTGTAATTTCTGAATGCACTAAGATTTTGTTGTAAATCTTTCAAGTGTACAGTGTATTTATTTCATCCAAAATGTTTATCTTCGACAGTAATGATTTTTGATTGCTTCAATTTAGGTTAAAAATTTGACAAAAATCTGTCACTTCTATCTTTAATATTATTCAACCTTTACCAATTTAAAGCAATATAATTATGACATATAACTTACTTGTAAACATTAGGAAAAGAAAAGGTCTTTTCTAAGTAGTCCTCATAAACTGGTCTAAAATTCTCAAATCTTGTGTCCAATAATAAATTCAATATAAATACCTATAAAATATGAAATAATTTGTTTGCTTTTATTTGTATACATATAAAACTCCCTATTGTTCTATGATTCTATGAAATTTATCCCAAATGGATCCCATCTTTTTCAATATATCAACCTTATGTGGGAAACTACATGCATCTTAATAGGAAATGAATATGAAACCTGCTTTGAACTAGACATACATGCTAGATGGATTTTTAAAGTGCTAGTTCACAAGGTAACAGTTTGCAAGAAGACATGTCAACCTACCTGGATACATTATTTTGACCCTGAGTCTTTGTTCTTACTCATTAATTCTGCATACTTAGGTGAGAAGTAGCAAATACCAATGTTCCAGTCGTTGGTTGACCTGGGGGAGGATCCCAAACTTTTTGTAATACAAAAATAAAGTGCATTATTTTGGTAAAATTTTGTTGTAAAATATAAATGTATAATAGTGTTCTGTATATCAAATAGATAAACGGGACCAAAGTGTATTTTTGTGTTTTTTTTTTTATTTGTCATGACTTTACGTTAGCAGTTAGTGCTGCAGTCTTAGAATTTAATACAAAATGCTTAACTAAAATTCATATCACTAACACCAACCTTGTATCACCCAAACTGTTATCTCCCTTATTAGAATACCTTAACTATAGTGCTTAACATTTGTTTAAGTAGAATTTAAATAAAATCTACAAGATATCATAAAATAATATTTGAAAAATCTTCAAACAAAATCATCCAAAAACAAGAGAATTCAGAATATAACAGATAGACTGTGTATGGAAAATAAGCTCTCAATACATCAATGATATTTTCATATGTAGCTGCTTTACGATTCTTAACAATTATACTTACAATAACTTGAAACACTTTGGAACAATATGGAGCTTTATTTGTACATCCATCATCCAACATCTCTAAAAGACGGTCCATAATGTTCTGTAAAAACTGAAAATCAAAACATATATCATAATCTACTTTTATTTAAAAAAAAACACACACAAAACAATTGAGAAGGGTCATTCAGGGTCAGTTACAATACAACATATCTGTGATAATCAAATAAGTTAATAAAATGTTACTCATTTCAGGAGTGACCACTGTAAGAAAACATTAGGGAAGGTAAGTATTCTGGAAAATTATTTGAACTCTTTCTGTCAAATTTTTGTACATATGGAAGGGAAAAGTGAGTATATATCATAAAAATAACTTTACAATTTGGGAAAATATGCAATTACAGTCAAACCTGGTCAGGTCACCCTCATCTAGTCCTGCTAAAGTAATACATATGCACTTTGAACCTCCATTTAAAGGCAACCACACTTATAAGGTAAATTAACTCTTGTCCCAAGGGTGACCTTCATATACATGTTTTACTGTACATATCTACAAGTTAACAAATACATATTCAGTGACATATGTACCTTCATCACTTCAGTGCCTTGTACACTCATTAGTTCATTCAGATTTTTATCTATATGACTTTTTTCTTCCCTCCAGTTTAAGACTCCAAGGAGCTCAGCTAAAAATAAAAGGAATGAATATTATACATTTATTTCCCGAGTCTGAGGGAGATATGAAGATTTGTTCTTCATAAGCACCGCCTCTACTTTGTTTATTACCTGTGAACATAAAATATTAATTTACATACATTTTTTTCTTATCAGCTTGTCTTTATACCTAAACACGACATAAACATTGAAAAAACATTTCTGATCAAAAGTTAATTTTTCATTTGTTTTTTACTTCTGAAATAATTTTGAACACTATAATGACTTTACTTTAGCTATTTAAAAAACGTTCATACATTATGAACATTAATCACAGGTAACCTTGCACGATGAAGTACTGATGTTCAGAGGGGAATATGATACTCAGAGGGGAATATGAAGTTTTGTTCAATGTCATGTGGAATGGTCTCAACCAATCAAATGCTGATTTTGCTATCAATATTTACATACAGTGGAATAAAATGTTTTGAATATTTGTGCTTTATCACTACACAACTCTTTAGGATACAACACCCTTACTTTTCAGCATAAGCTTCTTCAGCATTTGTTTTTAAAGTTCAGACTATTCCTACCATGACAAACCAACACATTATTTGGAATGATCACATAGTATCATAAATGTCCTATGGATCATTAAGGCCAAAATTGGTCAAAAGTTGTCCAATGAGTTTGAGAAGATTTATTATGTTTTCTTATCCATTTATATGTTCTATATCTATGGAAGGTTGTTTTGGAGGGAGTAAAATTTCACTACTAGTATTTTGAAGTTGAAATGTTTGCCAAAAAATCAACATGTTAAATTTTGTTACTTACAGAAATAGAAAGATAAATTCCTTTACATGAATATACTTTAGTAAAGAAATAACTCATGCAAGCCATAAATGTGTTGGAAATATTCACATGGCCTGTGCAGTTATGTTCAAATCTTATCTGGAGTGTTAGCAAGGGATCAAATTAATGAATATAACGCCCTAGGCCATGTGAAAATGATTACAAATCTATGGCTTACATTAATTATTTTGATTCTAATAGGACAAATTTGGTAATTAAAAAAACTGAAGCTATGGTAAGTATGCCGTGTTTGGCTGTTCTATTATACTCCCTGTTAGATAAAGCTAAAAATTTCCCATAAATCAATAGCTTGCATGAAAAATTTCTTAAATAACCTCTAAAAAAATGTGTTTAATTCTTTTAATTCTCAACCCCAACATTTGCCAAAAAAATTTACATTTCTATTTTTTCTTCTTAAGCTAACACAACATTTTGTAACTAAGGAGCTGTCGTGTTGACTTGCAGAAATCAGTAAATGTGCAAAAAATGCAATAGAATAAAAAATAAAACAACACCGACCTCAAAACTTTTGATTTTGAATTTGGAGCGTTCACATAACGGAAAAAACCTTCAGCTTGAGCATTTTCATTTGTATGGTTTTAGTGCGCCAAAACCATTAAAGGAATTTTGGGGAACTTTATTTTATTTGGATTTTGTTGAGCTTTAATGCATAAATTCTTTTCGGTATTAGAATAAGAATAATGGTTCTGTAGTTTCTTTTGAATTGCAATTTTTAACACAGGGAAATCAGCATAGTGTTTGCACATAGATTACAATACATGTGGATTTATGTGGGATTTATATTGTAACAACCATTATTATGTACATCTCTGAGTCTGCGCTAAGTATAGATATATCAAAATATTTATCATAGTGTTGTTTACAAAGCGAAATAAGTATTAGAATTAGTATTTAACATGTGTGTACTTTAATTTCTATCTTACATGTCTGTGTAAACTTTGTAGAACATAAAAGAGTTCTAATTCCTATATGTTCTCGATAATGTCTGTCATAGGGCAATGATGTTGGCGACTGTGCAGATGACTGTTTAGTGGTCTCACCATAATCTTCTGCCAGAAATGGTATTTTGGAATATTTCTCAAATTTTATCTTCTTTTCATCTTCACACTATAAAATGAAACCAAGACATGCATCATAATAAAATGAAATAAGAACAATATTTTACTTAGATTTATCAGTTAATCATTTTGTTTTAATTCTTCTTTTATGTTAATAATTATTTGCACTGCAGGGAATATGCACAGGAGAAAAGGCATGAAAAGCTGTGTCTGACATAAATCATATTTCACCATTATAATCCTTTTGTATATTGCAACATCATTCAACAATTTCTTTATATTAAAATTACCAATATTTATAGCTTGATATATCATGCCTTTATATCCTGAGGTTCAAAAAGATTTCATTATGAATGAAACATTGTATATATTTCTATAAAAGTAAAATCCAAATTAAATGCCAAATATGGCTCCTTGCAACACACAATGACAAAGCTACAGAACTCTAAAATAATATTTCTTTATTCTAATGAGAGAAAAAAATAACGGAAAAATGCCAAGAGTGTATTATTAAAACCGTACAACTTTTATTTTTTAATGCCATAGAGTTGATTTGCTGAAAACGTTTAAGTTTCAATAAATATTCAATAAATACATGTATAGAATAATAACAAGTACTTATGTAAAAGTTTTAATTTGGTTTTCCTTGCTTTAAAGTATAGTTCAATTAGAAACATGTGTTGCCATAAAAAAGATAAAACAGGAAACTGTTGGTATGAAAAAGGTCTAAAATGCAATCCAAATCTTATCTTACCTTAAATATACAAAGATTATGAGATCCATCTTTGATAACAATTTGTAAATCATTAGTAACTCTCATAAAACCAAAACCATAAAGTTTCTTTTCTGCTCTGTGTCTTGCTACAAATGTATTTAATGAACAACATTAAACAGATATAAAATATGGGATGATTGGCATTTAAATGACATCAAATAATAAAATATATTGTAAGCAGAAAGTTTTGATTTTATTTGTTGAATTTATTTACATCTTCTTTACTAGAAATGATTTAGAGCAAGTCATGTCTTTAGGTTACTTTTAGATGTGAGCTTTGGTTTACTTGTTATAATGCTGTCTCATTAACATATACCCATTTCTCCATTTATTCTTATCTTAAGATGGCTTTTTATTTTATTGTATTGTCCTATTGTTGTCATATTGATGTTTACATTTATGAATTTCAATGTGGTGTGTAATTGAAAACAGTCAGAAATTTTAGTGTACATCTGGAAAAAAAATTACTAGTATATATATATAAATGTAGATATTTTTGTAGATACAAATCTACAATACTATTGTGAAGGGCTCACATATTGTTTGATTGAAAAAACCCTAACCAATAATGTTTCTAAAATGAAATCAAGAAAATGTCTAAATTTACAGTAATCGATATGATAAGCTTTTTTATAGAATTTTTTGTTTTTTATTATTAATATCATCTTCTTAAAAAACAAACTAAGAAGATCTAAGACACATTGAATAATATACCTTGACAATGGTAAACATCAAATCTAATGTGAGATCCAGGAAGTTCATCCATTGGTAATGAGATCTGAAAATATAACAAGCAAGGGTTAAATAATCTGTTGTTCAACTTCTTTTTAACTCGTGGTTAAATTTTCAGTGAATGTTCATTTTTCTCCTGTCCTAAAAAACTGTTTGGTCAATAAATATGATTTTAACAGAAAACAACCTATTTTAAATTTTAACCAAGGGCTATGATATTTATCCATAGGTTAAAATTTAACGAAGAGATGAACAACTGGGTCCAAATATCTGATCACAATTATTCCTTTGAATTTGGTGAACTTTCCTTATGCAAAGTTTATCAAATGAAATCATGAAAAATAACAAACCACGAAAATAGGGAGGATTGAGGACTTACAAACATGTTTTACCAAGCCACATTCTTTAAGTGCCTATCCCACGTCAGGAACCTGAAATTCAGTGGTTGTTGTTGGTCGCTATCTGTCATACATTTTATTTGTTTATTGTTTTGTCATAAATTAGGCCATGGTGGGGCCTTTTACAGCTGGCTATATAGTATGGGTTTTTCTCATTGTTGAAGGCCTCACATTGACCTGTAATTGCTTACATCCACCTTATTTGGTAGATGGTTGTCTCATTGACAATCATATCACATTACCTGATTGTTACATGAAGCAAGAAAGATAGGTAAGAATAATTTTATGGCTGCATGTGAATCTGTCAGTCAACATGTACAGTAAGGATGCCCTTTCAGTCACTCTGGGAAGCTTAGAGCAAATAAATGGAGAATGAGTCCATGGGACACAGATGATGCCCCTGCTTGCATGCAACATTATAAAGGGATATAACTCAAGAACTGTAAAGGTGACGCTATCCAAATTCAGACTTGATCTGAGTTTTGTGCTAATAAGCATTGTTTATAAGTTTCATAACATTTGGTTAAGGCAAACTTAAGTTAGAGATTGGAAAGAAATATTCAGCAATTTTTCCATTTGTAAAGGGGCATAACTCTAGTACAGTAAAAGTGATGACACCCAAATTCAAACTTGATCTGTGTTTTGTGGTAATAAGCATTGTTTATAAGTTTCGTAACATTTGCTTGAGGCAAACTAAAGTTAGAGAACGGAAACCAATTTCGGGACGTACGTACATACGGACAGACATACAGACGGACAAGGGTAACACTTAATGCCCCTTCTGCTGGGCGGGGACATAAAAATTAAACATTGAATATATTAGGTTACTCCTCATATAGTTTTATATGTTTTATATGCCTTACAATATAATATGTATAACAAGAATGCACGTGTTGTCATTCTAATCATTGCCCTTCTCCTTATTCAAAGTATCAGAAGCAGGAAGAAGTAGGTGTCTGACAGATTTAGCTAGCACAACAGAAGGATTGACGGACATAAACAGGAATGAACATACAAGATGAATGCACTACAGCCCCACTCCTTGAGTGAGGGTATAATAATTTGAAAATTTCATTGTTAATTGTTCCAATGCTTGGGTCTTTCAGTAATAAAGTTGCCATATGACAGTCCATTATGATACTGACACAAATATACATACCTTAATTGTTTCTTGCCATTTTGGCTGGTTGTCATGGTAAAATACACAGGATGGAAAATGAACTAGTGGATCATCTCCGCAACCATGGTGTATACAATTCTAAAAATAAATATACATCTCTTAAACAATGAGTCAAATCTCTCAGCTGTAGAAAAATTATAATATTAATAAAAGTATCAATGAAGGAAGAAGCATAATGTTCTTACTGAAGTAAAAATAAATGGATGCTTATGCAATAGCACATCAAATAGCAGTGACATCTTCATGATGCTTATGCACTAGCACACAATATAGTAGACACTTCTTCATGATGCTTATACAATAGCACACCAAATAGCAGATACTTCTTCATGATGCTTATACAACAGCACACCAAATAGCAGATACTTCTTCGTGATGCTTATGCAATAGCACACCAAATAGTAGACCCTTCTTCATGATGCTTATACAATAGCACACCAAATAGCAGATACTTCTTCATGATGCTTATACAATAGCACACCAAATAGTAGACCCTTCTTCATGATGCTTATACAATAGCACACCAAACAGCAGACACTTCTTCATGATGTTTATACAATAGCACACCAAACAGCAGATACTTCTTCATGATGCTTATGCAATAGCACACCAAATAGCAGAAACAATATAGAGCGTGATATTATAAATGTGGTTGGCGTGGTCTGTTTTGCTGTCTTATATTTTTGATAATTCCTGATATTCTTTTTATGTATTACTTGTCTATTTATGCAGACCATATGTTGATCTAAAGATGTCTTGTCACTTTTTATATGTTGATGGGTTGTTGTCTCATTAACATATATCCCATTTCTTTCATTCATATCTAGTCAGAAAATTTAACCCTTAATTATATAGTCAGTACAGCATAATTCATGGTGCGAAAATTCATAAACTTATACGCACGGATCTTAATGCAAAGCATATGATTTATCAATATTCTGTAAATAATTGATTGTTGTCAAACATCCAGCAGCAGATATAACTCGCTAGTTAACAAGGTAACAGTCCAAAATAAGGTACCAGTCTATTGTGGAAGACTGTATGTTACACTCTGGATGCCTTTTGGTTATTTTGGTGTGTTGGGTTGCTGTCTTATTGATGTATAGCCCACCTCTCCTAATATTTATATGTCACCATACTAGAACACATTATTTAGACTCCTAGCTCACCAGTATTTGCTCCTATTCTTAATGCAGCAAGACTGGTTGAGAAGCAACAAATACCAATTTAAAGTCTCTTTCATACCCAACTAGAGATATACTCATGACCTTCAAAATTTGTTGAATCATGACAGATGGTGTGGGGCCTCATATACTGCATATAATTGATACATGAATGCTGACCAAAATGTAATAAAACTATCAGAGATCTGTAATAAATATTCATTTCGGAACAGATCTCTTTAATAAAACTTAAAATTCAGCATTGTCAATAGCAAAGGACTACAAACACACATAGTAAACACTTTATCACCAATTAAATACAGTTCTCTTTTGTAAAGCTAGTATAAGTTCATATTTCCATAGTTGCAACATTGTGCTGATCATCAACTATGTGCAATTTTATTTATCAATGTTTTCCCTAAAATAATTAATCTCGTCCTTCATGCACAGTACTTACCTCAACTACTTTTCCTTTAGAATTAAAAACTGTTACAACAACTTCAACATTCTTTTGAGATTTTTTATTTCCTCTTTCAAACTGAGCTTCTGACAATGTCAAATAGATGTCATTTCTAACTTCACCTGAAACAATATTAAACCACTGTCAGTAACAAGCAAAACCTGTAATGGTACAAAACTGTAATGAATGATTCCTTTTGATTTTATACAAGTTCATTTCCAAATGGAAAGTCACTGTCAAAGTCACCTATCAAATGCTATAAATGAAGCTTAACGTGTTAATGTTCACAAAAGAGAGCTAAAATCAAAATAAAGTTTGAAATGCCAACCATGTTTGAATACATGATGAGCTATTGTCAAAAGGGGTTTACAAAAAAAAAATAGTTGAAATTATCTAGGATCAACTTAGCTTTATTATGATAAATTTCTCTGTATAATCCTATTTCAAAAGACAATTTATATCATCAAGTAACATAAAGATATCACACATATCCAATTGACACATATATCAAAATGTTTTTAATAATGTTGGGTAAAACATACAATTAAAGTTTATGTGAAACATTCTTACACTCTAACACAATTAGGTGTTTAGTTTTTAAGATGACTCTCAAACATTAATAACGTAATCATTATAATCATGCACCACAATGCATTTCCTACCATTTTTTTTACAATCCAATTTACTTCGTCATGCTACAACAAATTTACAACATACTGAACTGATTTCTACTTTTCTTTTACATAGTTATCTCCTTTTGTGCCCAGCTATTAACGAAACTGAATAAAATTGAGCTTTTACTTTTCCAACTCACTGTTTCAGAATCTGATGCATTTTGGGTGATATTTTTTTTTAAAGCACACACCAAAATGTTGTAATTGGTTAAAATAGCTCTAAACAATAGAAATTTATCGAATGACATGATGTTATTTTCATTATGGGGTACGAACAATGAAATTACCCATTGTCCTGTAGATTTTGAAATGGTAAATTATAACACTGTTTTACTTTTGAAACATATTCCTAAGAAAATATTTGGGTGAATATTTTGAATTTGGGATATGAAATGAACAATTCAAAAATCTCTGCAAACCCTCACTTGCAACATCATAAATAACATTCTACTAACATACTTTTAACTTATTCACTTTTTTTAACATGCTACAAATACAATGGCAATATGAAATATCACCACAATAATAAAAGAACAGATTTCCAATGTCTCCCGGTGTTGCACATATTTTATCCGTTCAAGGTCAATAACTAAAACGCATTGCGCTGGGGACAACAACCACATAACTGGTTATAGACAACACAGATACATATACACCAACATGGTTGAAAGGTCACAAAGCTCACAACACCAAGAACTTGCATTGTAAAAAATAAAATTATCACAATGTTACAAGAATATTAATTTTGTAGTAAATGTAAAATGATTGCTATTGTGTAGCTAAATGTCTCCTGAGCTATTTAAATGAGGAATTAAATTTGGTGTCACAATGCGTCATCGTGGTATGAAGAGTCAAAATATGGTAAATGTCCCATAACTCCCTTAAAAATGGTCAAATCAAAATGATGGCAAACATTACTCCTACTAAATTGTTTGGATCAATATGACAGTATAATATGGTAAACTACACATGATGGCAAACAATGGTACCAGGTATGAAAGCTTTCTGTCAAATAGTCTTAAAGGAGTTGTGTACACAAGGTGTTATGGTCACAATACTCCAAAAAATAGTCAAAATCCCATAACTCTGGTAAAAAAGGACGCAACAAAACGATGTTGAAATATGATCAGCTACACAATACCGCAACAATCTTACCAAGTATGTGAGTTTTCTGTCAAACAGTCTCAGAGGAGTTTTGTTCATAAGGTGTTATTGTCACAATATTAAAACAAATGGTTAAAGTACCAAAACTCCTGCAAAACCTATTGTCAAATCAAACTCAGGACATAGCATGAACAAGAGAAAATGACTACAAATAAAACAACAATATGAAAGCTTTATGTCAAACAGTCTGAGTAATAACGTGTTTCAGAAGGAAGGATGAAGACCATAACTATATCCCCCGCGATGCTACATGCGAGGGGAGGGACAATTAGATATTTCACAGTTATTCTTCATTTTCTGTGAAGCAAATAACAAAAACAAGCTAAATTGAAAAAATTAAGGAAAAATTTCCAGCAAAATCAAAAGAAGGCTGAAAGATGTCCGTAAAAGAATTTTCAACAAATATAAAGCTACTGTTGTACCATTGGCAAAGCTTAACAAAAACAAACAATGATGAAATAAACATGATCAAAACTAAAATAGGAAGTGCAAAACTTTACTTCCTCTTAGAATAGTCTGTGAAAGTTCCTTTTGTTTCTGTCAAAAAGTGTACGAGTAGCTACAGGTTATCAAGTGTTACAAAGACGGGCAACAATACAAGTCAGTTGAAGATTGCAGATAGTGTTTCTTATGTATTTAAAACTGTGATATATTTATGATTGATTTTCTGTATAACTACGGCATAGAACCTGATACTAGCATATATCTTACAAATTTTCTGTATCTCTACAGCACAGAACATGACACTAGCTTACAGGTTACAGATCTTTAAAGCACGTATAAACTGATTATGCTAGTTTTTCTTGTGAAAAGCTTTATTTTATGAACTAACTCATATTCGGGACTATTGGTTTTTTCTCACAAAGTTAGTGTCACTCTCTTCAAAGTATGCATTTTATTTTGCAATTTTGCCAATTACCAATTTTTTCATGTTGATCAACAAAAACAGGCTAATCTATTTTAATATGAATTCATAACTAAATATCATTTCAATACTAACCAGTAGAATGAATTACAGTGTATAATTCAAGACATTCATATCATTAAATGTACTATTATAACTAATTTTTGCATTCCCAAGAAAAGTGTCTTCTTTTTCATCTACTAAAAACCTAAGATAACTTGTAACTGTTTCATCAAAAACAAGGATTGAAACATGGCAAACTAAAATGACATTAATCCTTATTAAAACTGTCAAATTACCCCTGATCACTGTGTCCACATAGAATGCTTTAAAAAATAAATTCAGGATTATATAATAATCATGTGACAGCTGACATTATTACCTAGGCCATAGCCTTTTCAACAAGTAATGCACAAATCAATGAAAGAATGAACTAACATATAAATGAATGCAATGTACAAATGAATGAATGAACTCTACAAACTAACTTATTTAACAAATATCTTAATGTTCCTTTGATTTTGTTTTTCCAAGTGTATGCAGGGATTTTGTTCCATGAATAAATAAACCAAATCCTTTCTATTCCATTAAATGCTTGAATGAATGTATGACAGGAACAAAAGGAATGAATTAATGAATGAAAAAATGAATGAACGAATGAATGAAAGAATGAATGAATGAATGAATGAATGAAAGAATGAATGAATAAATGAATGAAAGAACGAATGAATGAATGAACGAACGAACGAAGAAGTGTGAGTTTAAATGTAATATTTGAACCATAAATAGCAACAGATGAAATATTCCTACCTTACCTACATTTTATGCTTTAAATAACAGCCATAGTGATCAATGTAAATATGATTAAATGATATATTTCAAAATTGAATTGAGTGATTGAATGAAATTGAATGAAATTAATATATACTGCATATGATCTTCTAAGAAATGAAATAAAAAATAAGAGTTACAAGAATGCGTTATCTTTGAACATTGAGGTATTTCTTTACCTGGATTGATGACATCAAACTGGCTGAGCTTAGGTATAATTGTGATATCTTTTGTAAACAACACCGGGTAATCTGTTTTTACTGCCTGTAGGTCACCATCATAAACAGACACATCAAAGGTCAAGGACATTCCTTCAAGTAAAAATAAAACTTCATTTTTGCTGAGTTCAACTGCAAAAGTACAAATTGAACAGTTACATAAAAAAGGGGATATAGTTAAATAGTTTTGGTTTTGTAAGCAGCAAATTGATTTTTAAAGTATTTTCTCACTGTATTACTGAGTTTGACAACCACGATTTTATCATTACCTTGGCTAGTTCCTTTTCATGAATGAAGTGCCTTATCATTGTTTTGACTCATTTTACAGAGTAAAATAATGTCAAGTTATTGAATTTCCTGACAAAGAAGAATGTCAAAGCTCAGTATTGTATAAGATAGATTGTATTGATACATGAAATGTGGCAATGGACAAATGGGTGAAAATAGGTCATTTTGCTGAATTCTCAACATATTTGATTACCCACCGGATGATTTTAGGTGGGTGAGAAAATTCAAAGATGACTTACAAATGACTTACAAATATTGGGTCAGTTGACAGGTTTGAATTACTATGAATTCAAAATTTTTACATACATTCATTATTGAAATTGTTGGAAAATGAACACAAATGTGAGATTGATTATTGCAATTTCAGGAAATGTAGCATAGAAACAATCCTATTAAAATTAACATAGGAAGCAAAAACAGTAAAAATCTAATCTTTTAAAAATGGTAGCTTTGTTCATTGACAAATTGCAAAAGTTAGAATTTGGATTAAGCAGTATGTATAGGGAACTGAAGTCAGTGAAAATACAATATTTTCCAGATTATGACTTAAAAAAGAAAAACATTCATCATATGGACCAAATAGGTTTTAGGAAGGAAAACCTAAATAATCATTTTTCATTTGGTCCTATCATAAAGACAGCAGAATTCAAATCTAACAGGATTTAAAGGATGCGTTCTTGCTGCACTTGCATTATTAACATTAATGAATTGTCTCTGGCTCTCCTGAGAAGTTGGAAAAAAATATCTGACCAGCTGAAACATTTTGATTTAATGAAAAAAACTGCATATAGTACTGTAGAGACAATTGTTGTACATTGTATTGTTGTTTGAGTACCTATGATATTGTTGTTTAAGTATCTAGCATACTGTTGTTTAAGTATCTATCATACTGTTGTTTAAGTATCTAGCATACTGTTGTTTAAGTATCTATCATACTGTTGTTTAAGTATCTAGCATACTGTTGTTTTAGTATCTATCAAACAGTTGTTTTAGTATCTAGCATACTGTCTATCTAGTAAATATCCTCTTCAAAAGCAAGTTTCTTTTAGAATGAATTAACATTATCATTGTGACTGTATGAAATAAGTAGAATGAATACCATCGAGCTGTTAAATAATTAGATACAATGGTATAGAATGGTCAAAGTGTAGCTAAATTTGCCACTACAGTTGACAGAACCTACCCACGTTAGCTCCTGTTTTACTTAGTGCTGAACTGCTACCTAATTTTGAACTACTACTTATACTACTACCAACACCTGAAGAAACACCTGGATTGCTCAATTTTTTAATCAGATCTTTATGTAATTCTGGAAAAGTTCCCTCATTTTCTATACAACTGAAATATAGAAGAAACTTTGAACAAAATATTTATTGAAACTATAACTATACGTAGTATCTTATCTTACATAAATATTATCAAAAATAAGTTTTTGAAACTGAAGGCATTAATGTTTTAAGAATTATACAGACAATCTGAAATCTTGGAGATAGATCAAGCTTATACTAGAAAATTACTAAAACAGAAATTCAAACTTAAGGTAAAAGCTATTGTGTGATTGGTTGCTCAGTAGTCATACATTACTGTACAAAACAAAATTATATGAATAGGTCACATTGTGAAAACATGATGGAACTAAGGTTATAAATTCCTAACTGCATATTCACCAAAACATAAGGAACCTTCTGCAAACTGAATCAGTAATGATGGGGCAAAAACTGCAATGAATTCCTTTGTGGGCTTTCCAGAATGACTTAATGTCTATGTACTTAAATATTTTATTACCTTGTGATATTTATTGTGCAAAAGCAGGAATCATCGTTCATCCCATTCTTGACATCCTCTATACTTAATACTGAAAAAATAAAATACATTTACATGAAAATTAACAGAGAATTCCATGTGATAGCAGCTGAGAACCCCAAAGAAATAATGAATGAAAGCTTACAATACCATTACAAATATGTATATTTTCTTTGGTTAACAAGAATAATGTGTATACACCTTTTTTTGTTAATTTTTAACTGATTTTTTTCAGATGGAATCATATGGAATTTTTTACAAACAATGACAAACAATGAGCAATTGAGACACATAATGAATATTCTTGCTTAACTTTGAATAACTTGTATGCTGACTGATAACTGTTATTCCTTATATTTCTTGTATTATATTTTGTAATTGGAAGATCTGTTTCTATACCATCTTTAATATTCTCAACCAAGGCCTGCTTCAGCAAAAACAACATCATTGTAAAAGATCATGCTTTCAGATGACTGAGTGATCAAATTGTCCAGGCAGTTTGTAAACATTCATCTGTACAAATCACACTAGTCTGTCAAATCAATTGCAAAAATATCAAGGAGCACTTGATCTGCTGGTTTGTGATTTTTGTTTACTTAGTGACACAGGATCTGTTTACCCTTATATAGCACCTGAGATCACCCCGTGTTTTTGGTTGGGTTCGTATTGCTCAGTCTTTAGTTTTCTGTGATGTGTTTTGTGCACTGTTGTTTGTTTTTTCATCATTTTTGTTTTTTTGCCAAGGTATTGTCAGTTTGTTTTCGACTTATGAGTTTGAATATCCATTTGGTATCTTTGGCCCCCCTTGAAAGAGGTTTGTGGTTCATCGTTTATACTTAGGTTTCATCTTCCAATGAAACTGACAGTAATCATATTGTATGGATGTGTAAAAAGTGGATCTATACCATACAAACATACAAATTACCTCCTACACCAAAGGGTCTTCTGTATGGACGTGTTGGAGACTTCTTTGAACTGTCAGAAAACATACGACCTAAAAAATAGTTATAAATGAGTATAAACATTTTTGTCTACACAAACAATAGCAACTATTGAGTTCGTCAGAATAGTCCGTATATTTTATATTGTATATTTGATATAAAAAAATCTACCCGACTTCTTTTAATATGTAAAATATAAATATCATAAAGTGACAATTGACCATCTTAGAAGACTAATATAGCATAAAATTATCTGTTAATGAATACTTACCGATTCTGTAAATTCTAACAACTATATACAAATACTTCTGATATTCATCAAGTGGTAATTCCTGAAATCAAATTAGCAAATATTTATATTAAAATCCACCCAATCAAGTAACTTATTTAAATAAACTGTTAACACAGAGATATGTCTCGCCTTTTTTGTAATTTTGATAATGCAAATGTTGAAATTGAAATAGCAATACTTTAACATGTAAGTTATGCAAATATTCAAAGTCAATGAACCATGACTAAAGGTGCATGGCTAAACAATCACCATGGAAATGAGATGAGCCAATGCTAATACCACTGCATACCAAATACCATTGACTTATCACGTCATTCCCTTTAAACAAACCTAAACACAAACATTAACTTGTAAATAGTTATCAAAGGTACCAGGATTATAATTTAATACGCCAGACGCGCGTTTCATCTACATAAGACTCATCAGTAACGCTCAGATCAAAATAGTTATAAAGCCAAACAAGTACAAAGTTGAAGAGCATTGAGGACCCAAAATTCCAAAAAGTTGTGCCAAATACGGCTAAGGTAATCTATGCCCGGGATAAGAAAATACCTAATTTTTTCGAAAAATTCAAAATTTTGTAAACAGGAAATTTATTAAAATGACCACATAATTGATATTCATGTCAACACTGAAGTGCTGACTACTGGGCTGGTGATACCCTCGGGGATGAAATGTCCACCAGTAGTTATGTAAAAGTTTTAAAAGTCAATGAACCATGATGAGGGGGTGGGCTATATAATCTCATATGGAAACAAGACTTGCAAATGCCAATACATTTGCATACCAAATATCATTGACTTAACATTAGCAGTCTTAAACTGATCTAATCACAAACTAATACATGTAAACTAAGCGAAAGTTTCAAAGTCAATAGACCATGACTGAGGGGGCGGGCCAAATATTCTCCATGGAAATGAGATGTGCTCATGCTTATACATCTGCATACCAATTAACATTGGCCTACCACTAATGGTTCCCCTTAAACTGACATAATCACAAACTAATACATGTAAATTAAGCCAAAGTTTCAAAGTCAATAGACCATGACTGAGGGGGTGGGGCCAAATAATCTCCATGGAAATGAGATGTGCCAATGCTTACACAACTGCATACCAAATATCATTGACCTACCACTAGTGATTCCCCATAAACTGACCTAATCACAAACTAATATATGTAAACTAAGCCAAAGTTTCAAAGTCAATAGACCATGACTGAGGGGGCAGGGCCAAATAATCTCCATGGAAATGAGATGTGCCAATGCTTACACAACTGCATACCAAATATCATTGACCTACCACTAGTGATTCCCCATAAACTGACCTAATCACAAACTAATACATGTAAACTAAGCCAAAGTTTCAAAGTCAATAGACCATGACTGAGGGGGCAGGGCCAAAAAATCTCCATGGAAATGAGATGTGCCAATGCTAATACAACTGCATACCAAATATCATTGACCTGCCACTAGTGGTTCACTACAAACTAGACCTAATCACAAACTAATACATTGTTGATGCCGCTGCCGCCGGAAACAGCATGTCTCGCTTTCTGACTCTATCAAGGTGAGACAAAAAGTGACAAAAGCTAACAAAAAATATATTTGTGGATTAAACTTAATGTTAAACATCATAGTTATAAAACACTTCTTAGCAGCAAAATAGGATAACATGAGATAATAGAGCAAAGACTTCCAGACATTCACCTGCTTAAAAACAATCTGGCTTGAAAGGTACTGTGTAAACAGAAGAGAATCTCTTGATGTATTTTTCATTTCTTTTTTTGTGTAATTGAGTTGCTGTCTCATTGATGAACACCACACATTTCCTTTTGTTGACACACCTTAATGGCTCAAGCTTTGCAATTTTCCAAGTTAAAAAGGGCATAACTCTAGAACGGTAAGTGACTCACTGCCCATATTCAAACTCTGTCTGTGAGTTTTGGTTCTTAGCATTGTGTGTGAGTTTCATAAAATTTGGATGAGGAAAACTTAAATTAGAGTGTGGAAACCAAAATGGGACAGACAGAAGGACAGACAGACAGTGGGACTGACAGAAGGGTAACACTTGATGTCCCCATTGCCTATGGATGGGGCATAAAAAACAACAAATAACATGAAAGATCTCTGGTACTTACAGTAAAGAGACCAAAACAATTATCCAGTTTTTCTGGTTTCAGTGGAGCACCATTTTTGTTCATTCTTATTATAAACTGTTCACTACAAATAACAATTGTATAAATATTGCAGCATTTGCTTAATATTTATTATTTATTAAAGTTATTTTTTTTCTGTATTAATGGAAATTATAATAATGTCATTATATTGGAATAACCCAAAATTGTTTAAGTTAGTCCAAAATTTAAAATTGACTTTGGATACAATAGCACATTTGAACCTAACAATTATATTGATTTATTCTATAATATTTTTACTTATTTGGTTTTAAGTTTAAAAAAAAAATACAAAAACATTTTCCCAAACAATAAATTAATACTTCAAAGAAATAATCAGGCATAACATAAAAAATATTTGTGTCTGACCTAAACTAAGACCTTAAGCTTATAACTGAATGAGATTTGGAGATAACTTCCATCCATCATCTGTTTTCTTTACAAAAATTCTAAAGCTAAACTCACTATTAATTTTAAGAAAGTACAATGATTTGCAGAAGTTGAAATCTGTTGCTGGGTTGCTGTCTTATTGATATATACCCCACAACTCTTTTCATTCATATTATTCAAAGAGAATCAAAAGTAGATTATTAGCTTTATTAGATATTGTGTAATGAGCATATCAGCATTCAAACAACAATGGCAAGTTATGTTAAATTCTGCTTTAGAAATATGTTACATTTTCAAAAATCTAAATATGGAAAAGAGATTTACATGTATTTGGCTTCTTTCTTGTGAACATGAAGAGATATCCAATACTGTGGCTTTGATTTGTTTACAATGAGAAAACAACTGCATAGTTAAATCGATACTACTGTGAAAGTACTTTTATTCGTGGGGTACCAATTTTTGTGGTTTTCGTGGATGGTTTTATCAACGAATTTAAGTGTCCAATGAAATATAACAACTGTTGTCCAAATCAAGAAATGGAAAGATCCCTATGTAGATTTGACTACATGGATACTGGCATATAATATAGAGAATACATCAAATATCAGCAAACACACTATGAATTATATTTACAACTTCAGACATAGTTTTATCCATTTAATCTTTTAAAAGACTAAACTTGTACGACTATTAACCTTTTAATTCTCATGACAAATTAGCTTTGATCGATGATGTCAGCCGCACTCCCGGTGATGATATGCAATGATGAAGTGTTCATTTTATCTCCTCATAATTCTTATACGGAAATTTTTTTTTCATATTGTGCTTTGCTTTCCTATTTCCTTAGAATTGATTCTACAATTCATAGTACATTTGTGGCATTCTTTATCGAACTGTTTTCTTTTAAAGTGACATGTTTATGGTTTGATTAGAACCTTTGATGATCGTTAATCTGTTGATTATTTGATTTCGGGTTAATTAGTGTCATCACTTCTGATAACACATGTGCAACAATTATAATAGTTAGTAATAATTAGTTAATATAGTATTCGTATTCGAATCCAATCTCTTCCGAAGCACTAAAAGCCTTACCTGACAAATTTCTGATCTCTATTGTCATATACACTCATCACTATCTGAGATTCATCACCAACATTACACTGAGATACTTTCAAATTAACCAAAACATTAAAAACAATATCCGTATCTTTTGGAGTATTGACAGAGACTGATTTGTGTCTTTTCTTGGAGTATTTTGGCTACAAAAAAAAAAGAAATTGTAAATAATGTATGTGATAAACAACAACTTTAAACAGTGTGAAAATATATACCAACAAGAGTGCACACACTCAAATGGCTTGGCATCTAAATATATACCAACAAGAGTGCACACACACTAAAATGGCTTGTCATCTAAATATATACCAACAAGAGTGCACACAAACTGAAATGGCTTGTCATCTTAATTTTGTATAACTGAATAGTATGTTGACAAATAAAGGACTTGCCATCTTCTGGAAACTTTCTCTATGTTTCCAGGTAGGCATTTTTTTTTAAATTACCCACATAAACCATAAACTTACATTTCTCAGCCCATCTAAATGTATTGTACAAGGCTTAAATGAGAAAAATGGACATAGAATAGATTTAATGGTCACTTCTATGGCCAAAACAACAAATTAAACCCAACATTATTTCATTATAAACAAAACTTAACATTAATCTATGAACCAAGGAAATGCCGTCAAGGTTAGTTGACCCCTTTCAAACAGATATGTACACCTTACACTGATTCTAAAAACCAAATATAGTTGACCTAGTAACTGATATACTGACTTGAGCAAGAAAACTGAACATTGCTCTTTACCATGAAAATAAGGCCAGATGGCCAGGCAGTACATTAAGTAATCTTATTAACTTTAATACTATCAACTATATCTTACTCATAACATCTGAGAAACTCTCCTAAGCACTAAACAATCAATAACATTGTTCATTGAACTATCAAAATAAAGTTAAGGTCATATTCCCCCTGTCAAATCAACATGTAAAACTTATAATAATTTTATAGATCAAATACATGTATACATAACATATTATTAATAGAAACTAGAAAATTGATCTAAGAGTCAAAAGTTAAGGTTGATAATTGAACCCTTCAAAAAGTTCAAGGTCAGATTAATCCTTACATAGAGACATGAACACCTTACAATCACTATATACACTCAAAAAAAAGTTGACCTATATTTAAAGATAATGGTTTTTCAACAAGTATTAAATAAACTTAACATAATCAATGATCCATGACAATGACATCAAGGTCTGATAAATCCTACCAGACAGATTTGTACACCTTACAATCATTCCATACACCAAACATAGTAGATCTATTGCTTATAGTTTCTAAGAAACAGATCAAAGTATGAAAACTTAACGTTGACAAATGAACCATGAAAATAAGGTCAAGATCAGTTGATAAATGCCAGACAGACATGTACACTTTACAATCATTCAATACACCAAATATAGTTGACCTGTTGCTTATAGTATCTACAAACAGACTTAACCCGGAAAATTTAACATTGACCAATGAACCATGAAAATGATGTCAAGGTCAGATGAACCCTACCAGACAGACATGTACACCTCACAATCATTCCATACACCAAATATAGTTGACCTATTGCTTTAAGTATCTGAAAAGATGACCAAACTATGGAAACTTTAAATTGACCAATGAACCATGACAATAAGGACAAGGACAGATTATACCTGCCAAACTCTCTTTCCAATAACCAAATAAAGTTGACCTATTGCTTTTAATAGACCAAAACACAAAAACTTAACTTTGACCAATGAACCATGAAAATAAGGTCAGATGAAACCTGCCAGCTGACATGTACACTTTACAATCATTCCATACACTATATATAGTTGACCTACTGCATACCTGTCAATTGACCCGGATCCTGCGGGTGTGACAAAAGATTTTCACAAATCTGAGGGGTCACCCGGAACACCCACCAGGTGACCAAATAACCCGGGAATTCGGAAAATAACCCATTTTCACCTGGATTCCTTAGCCTTCAGACTGATTAGATATAAAGTGATTTCAATGAAATACCGGCAAATTCGTAATTCTTCCTGGACAAGAAGTTCAACTAGCTGTGTAAACTCAGCTCAATTGACCCATTTCAGTGCATGGCTTCACTTGACAGCTTTGGTGTCAAACACACTGTTAATTAACACCAATTACCTTAGCTTTAGGTCGTAAATAATTTGTGTATTTCAAAGTTGTTTTAAAAACAATTTGAGTTACTTCCCCTTTTTTGTCAATTCACAATATACTCCTTAAACTTATGGTTTTTTTTGTAAAAATATTAAATCTAAAATGAATTGAATGCACAAACATATCAGAATAATACTTTTACTTATTGTTCTACCTTAGAACAATTAAAAAATAAAAATTTTGAAAATTACTTTTTTCATCTATACCTCCTTTAATTGTTTAACTTTATTTTATTTTTCTCTAATATCAACATATGATATATTCTACTGTTTAAAAGCTGCACAAATGTATATAAAGAAAACACAAATTGGCACTTTGTATGTCATGGAATGAATATGAACAGGAATTAAGGCAATGTAACACAAATCTATCAATTGCCTCCATGTGCAATGAAATAATAATATGTACAATTTTAAATTACTTAATCATGTTGACATGTTTTGGAAACTTTGATATAAATTATAAGAAAAATGTCCCCTAAATACTGAAATTCACCTCGAAAAGTTCATACGTGTTATGACCTGAGATTTCATTCTTCTATGCAGGTCATCACCTGCATTTTCATTGTCATAGGTTGACAGGTATGCCTACTGCTTATAGTATCTGAGAAACGGACCTAATCACATGACTTTAACCTTGATTACTGATCCATGAAATAAGGTTCAGAATAGGTGAACCCTATCTGATGGACATGTAGACATACCTGCCAACTTTTCAAAATCTCCATGGGGGATTTTAAGCGCAAGAGGAACTTATGCTCCTCTTTTATTGGCATGAATGTTTTTAGTCTACTACTATATTGTTTGAATGAGTATGTATGTGTTTAAATTCCCTTTCTACTCATTTGAATGCCTTTTTTGAGGTGTTTAGTTTATAAAATAAGGAATTTCAAAATTCAGGTCAATACCTCTCATGAGGGATATCCCCCATAAATTGGGATAGTTGGCAGGTCTGTACAGTAGACCTTGCAAGGAACCCATATACCAAATATAGCTATCCTATTACTCATCATAATTGAGTATTTCACATGACAAAAAACACATTTTTTTAGCAGTCACTGAACCATGAAAATGAGGCCAAGGACAATGGACATATAACAGACACAAACTTTGTAGTAACATATAAGGCTGGTATATACAAAGTATGAAGCATCCAGGTCTTCTACCCTCTGAAATATAAAGCTTAAAAATCAAATCGCAGGACTAATATATGAAAACTAGGTAGCTTACACTATGAAATAAAATTTTTGTACAATCCTTTTTTATAGAAATTTCCACTCTGATCCAACTTCCTGTATTCATATATTGTTTCAAACAATGATTTTTGAATTTTTATGGTAAGAAAAAATTCCTTATTCTAAGTTTTAATTGGTCAATTATTTTTTAAAGTTTAACCTCTTTACCCTTAACACTACTTTCAATACTAACATGTTATACCAAATTCACTGAACATGAACCATGTAACAAGGTATTATTTTACTTAATATCAACACATCATCACGCTATACTCACAAGGAACAGTTTCAACTTGTGCGATATAATTTGACATACTATAGTCCACTCACCTGTGAAGATTTGGCATTTTCTGCACTTTGTAAGTGAACCCTGTATAACCTGACAATACTACATTTATCAACATCCACCTGTTCACCATCAACTCTGGGTATTAAGTCCATTCCCAATTGCCTGAAATGTCCAATAATTAATCAATAAAAAAAACAATAATTGAAACAATCAAATCTAAACAATTTATTATATGAATGCCAAATTCCAACTAAAGTGAGAAATTTACAAGATATGCTTCTGAGATATAGAAATAAAAACTATTCAATGGCAAATTAAATTACATAAACATAGTGCATGCAGAGTCAACCCAGCCAAAAATGCATACAATATTGTTCAATCTCTTACAATATGTAGTTTAATAAATGGGAAATGTGTCCATGGGACACAAATGATGCCCCCACTTGCATATAACGTTATAAAGGGACATAACTCAAGAACAGTAAAAGTGATGCCACCCAAATTCAAATTTGATCTGTGTTTTGTGGTAATAAGCAATGTGTATGAGTTTCATAGTATTTAGTTGAGGCAAACTAAAGTTAGAGAACGGAAACCAATTCTGGGACATACAGACGGACAAGGGTAAAACTTAATGCCCCCTCCGCGACAGCAATAGAACAAAATTGGCAAAATAACATTGATATACTGAAGTCACTCAAACAAGAAATGTAGGTCACTGTGATAAAAAGAACTAGGAAAGATAAATGCTTAATTTTGTTCAATGTTGTGAAAGCTCAATGACTAATTCTATATTTTCATCTATTTTGCCTAGAAGGGTCAAAGTTCAAAGGGATTAAGATGCTCTCCCCAAGTTTTGAAATTTTGATTTAACAATTAGATGGTTTTTGAAAAATTTAGGAATTCTTCCCTATGTATATTTTGAGGTTGTTGTTTTTTTTTACATAAAATTAAGTATCATCATGATGATTCCAAGCTCCAACACCATTTTTTCAATGCAATCACTAACCAACCACAAAATCATATTTTTGAAAATAATCAAAGAGGTCAAAGTAGATACATTGAATGATTGATGTTATGGCGAAGTATGAGATCATATTCAGATTACTTGAAAAACTATAAAAAATTCAACATTTTCACCAAATTTGAATACGATAGACACCTTCAAAAAAATATTTTTACCAAGAAATTCAATATTTAACATGTTAAAACTTAAATGATGTTTAATCCTATATATATTTTCTACATTTAATCTTTTTTTTTTCTTTTTTTTTAAATTACAATTTTTGCTAGGTGAATTACTAAAAGTGATGTAAATTGAATCTGAGGCCAGTAGGGTGCATTCAAATGTTGTAAATTGAATCTGAGGCCAGTAGGGTGCATTCAAATGAAACGCATACTAATGCGTAGTTACCATTTTTACAAAAGACTTGTCAAAAAATCTGCTTTCTTTGACAAGCATAACTTCCTTCTTAAAAAGATGTACAATTGATTGGATAGTAAAGGAATACTGAACTGAAGTTTCTCTTCCCTTTCCCATTTATGGAGTATATATATTTAGTTTTGTGTTACGTAATTCATTTACCTATGTCAACAGCTATCATGATCTTGATTTCATCTTTTATAAAAAGTAATTTAACCCTACCAGTATTATATTTTTCCCCATGCAATATATTTAACACAGTTCATTGTTATACACAAAATTTTAGTCAAAATCCAAAATAACGGTGGAATAAGTCATTAATCTTTTCAACCAAAGGTATACCTTAGTAATTTTATTATAAAAAGCTACATTTAATCAATTGAAATGTATATTACCAGTAAATATGTAAATAGTGGGTTAAACATTTGTATATAAAATAACGCTACTTTAAAGAAAATACATTGTTATGGGAAATAACGCTGCGACATTTCTTTAATAAATTGCTTTGCCGAGCGCAGCTGGCTACGACCGCAGAGGTCCAACCCTGAACAGTTGGGGCAAAAATGGACATAATATTCGCGCTAGATACAGGTATGAATTTGGATTGTAATTAAATATTTGACACATAATAGGTTTCTCACACAGAATAACTGTAGTCAAAGAACTTAGAATTGGTTATATGATTTGAATTTTATATTCAATTTTTTGCTTTTGTGCAATACACTATGCTGTTGCGAATTAGCCAATCCTAACCATCCCTTTATGGTATGGAAACTTGTGGTATAATTTCAGAGAGATCCATACACCGTTCCACAAGTTATTGTCTGGAAACTACAAAAATGCTTATTTGGGCCCCTTTTTGGTCCCTAATTCCTAAACTATTAGGACTACAACCCCCAAAATCAATCCCAACCTTCCTTTTGTGGTTATAAACCTTATGTATACAATGTTTTATAAAGTATAAAACATTGTTTACATAATATAATTTTTTTGCAGTCGTATAAAAATGGTTAGGATTTGCCAGATTTGTTTTATTTTTATGCCATTTTCATTTAAAGTTCATAATATTTTATAGCTTATAACTGATATAACACGTTTTATTATTAAATATCCAAATTAGTGGGGTAAATTAGTTCAATGAACTGGCTATCAATTACCTGTCATTATGTTATGCAATTCTCATTTAATTATAATACAGGTGCATTTACAGGTACTTTTAAAGAATAAACCACAAGATAATTTAATCTTGTAAACAGCTATTTACTAATTGGTACAAATAATAAAAGTATTAAACATTGTATACATAATATAAATTGTTTACATGATAGGAATAGAACATTTGATTTATTTTTACAGAAAGAACAGTTAGGCATATATATGTTAACCTGGAAGACTTGTTGATTAATCTATTCCATTTATAAATTTACAGATATTTTTCACTTATTTCTATGTGTTGTTTGAAATAATTTTAATATTTAATCACATTCACTCTGTTCCAGTAAAATTTATCCAGAAACTATCTTTTTTTTTGTGTGAATCATTTAGAGATCTACAACATAAAAGTAACTGGAATTTGTCAATCTTTCAATCTTTCAAACTCAAATTCATCTTTATATAATCAGTATTACAAGTCTTTTGTAGAATTACAAATATCTGAGCGCTAGTTTTGATGAAATTGGTCATGTAGCTTTTGTTTTAATTGAACGCTTAGCCACTTTGTGCTAAACTTGATTTGTGAAAACCAAATATTACTTTAACCACAATTACCAAGAATACATTTTTATGAAGGAGATGTGGGTATACTTTATGAAGGGGATGTGAGGAACACTGTCATGAGACAGTAGTGTTATCACAGTTTTTTTTATCTTTATTTATGTTATCACAGTTAACCAGAGATCCAGAGGTCAACAAACAGTCTTCAACAATAGACAGGTGTCTATATCATATGTCAATCTCTATATTGCCCCAGTCTAACAATGCTGTAAGTAAAAAAAACTTTTACTATCTGCCATGAACACCAAATTCTCCAAATAACGAAAAACATGAACATATGACAAAAAGTAACCTGTAATGTGGTTCCAGACTTCTGACAGGAACAGGATTATGTGTCAGTGTTAAATTGTTTATCAAAACATTAAACCATCAAAATATTTATAACATGCAATCAATCCTAATTGGTCTAGAATAAAAAAAGAATGAATGTAAAAGTACAAAGTCCTTTAACAAGATTGACTGGTCAATAATGCATAGGACATTGGATAATTTAAGTGTTAGGGCAGAGGGGGAAACATGTGAAGGATTGGGTGCAGTGACCTTCCAATTTTTTTTCTAAAACAGTATCACAAACTAGTCAAAACATTTACTAAATTTTATCATCAGTACAAGGACATCAATCGTAAATATAAAACAACATGCAGAAATCTTATACGTTCAGGTATTTCACATCCAATCTTATATGGTAATATTCTATACACAGCTCAAAAATGTCGTCATTCACCTCAAAAGCTAACCAAACCTTTAAAGATACTGTTGTCAAGTCATTAAAGATGGCATATTTTGGAATTAATATTGATTCACTCATAGGGTCTTTGCATCGGAAATAACACATGTTATGTTCCTCTCATATATTTTATGATGGTATGATACTAAACCCCGAACAGGAGGGATTATACTTGATTTTCATATGATGAAGACATAATCTTTCAATCAGTTTAATTGAGGTCTGGAGCTGGCATGTCAGAAACTGCTAGTAGTCCTTTGTTAATTTATGTATCATTATCATTTTGCTTAGTTTCTTCTTTCACCTATTCTAAATATCGGACTCAGACTTCTTTTCAACCGAGTTTTACTGTGCATATTGCTGTGTGTTTGTTTATTCTACATAGGCTAGAGGTATGGGGGAGGGTTGAGATCTCTCAAAACATGTTTAACCCCACAGCATTTTTGCACCTGTCACAAGTCTGGAGCCTCTGGCCTTTGTTAATCTTGCATGTTTTTTTAATTTCAGTTCATTTATATGTTTCGGAGTTTAGTGTAATGTCTATTTTCACTGAACTAGTACACATTTTTGTTTAGGGGCCAGATGAAGCACGCCTCCGGGTGTTGGATTTTCTGGCTGGGCTGTTTTCTGCTCTTTGACACATTTCCCATTTCCATTCTCAATTTTTTTTAATCAATCAGGGAAGGAAGAACTATTTTAAACCACTTAAGTCACAAATTCAACAGGGCCGACAAAGCTATTTTCAAGCAACTTAGATCACGAAGTACTTATGTAATCAGATATATTGGTATCTAGCATTTTTTAAAAAGAAAATCTTTTTTAAATTGTTGTATGAAAGGGTCCTCGATTCTTTCCTTTCTTTCGTATAATTTTTTCCTAGTTAGGCTGCTTTAATATTTGATTATTTACCAGTGCTATCCTGGTCTAGTATTTTGATCTTGTTTTTGCGGTTTAATGAATTTTTAATATTGAAAAGTAAAAGGTTATAATCACCATGTTACATTAAACATAGTGAAAAATACAAATAAGGAAGAATATTTTTTTGTCAATAGGTCACTTTAAATGAATAGAAACAATGAGAATTTGTAACCTATATATATAAAAGCTTGTACTACACTTATGGGAGTCATTTTTTAACAACTGTTAAAATATTAAAAGTTTTAAATGTATTAATTATAGGATAATTTAACTGTTGAAATAAATGAAAACAATGATCTATTGACCTAATGAATAATGACCTAGATTTTTCATCACCTGACTTAAAAGATACTTAAATTAATGACTTGTTTAACCACAAAATTATAAAAATCTTGATTATCTTCCTATCTAAACTGCGGTTTTAAGTGCAGAAGTCCTTTTGAAGTTAACAAAATTATTTGTGGTTTTTTCAGTCTTTTTTGTACCAAAGAAAACCTTATATATACAACTGCTACTTTTTAAATAAGTACAAATCATTAATTGGATGAGTCATTCCCAGATAAATGTTTATTTTTTTCTCTCCCTTCTCTAACTTCTACTTAGCAGGTCTACAATATGCTATCCCTCTCTAACATGCCCATTTCCATAGAAAATCATATCATTCTCTCTCTCTGACCTTCTCATTTTCTCAGTATAAAAATTCCTCTTCTAACCTTTCCAGTCCCAAATGCAATGACACCATTCTTTCTCTAAAAGTCTTGTATCCCTCTCTCTCTAACCCAAACATTTCCCTAGTCAGTGATACCAATAACTCTCTAACCTACATAGTTCAAGTCAATAATATCATTCTTTCTTTTACGTACCCATTGCCTTAGTCTAATACTACAGGTCTTGCATGGTCAAAGTCAATGATATCTATTTTGCTCTAACCTACCCATTTCGCAAGTAAAAAAAAACCAATTTTTGCTCTGTCCAATATCAATGTGAAATATATTATTCACTCTCTATATATTGTCTCTAATCTATTCATTCCCCGAGTCATTGACATTATTCTCTCTCTAACATACTCATTCCCCAAGACAATGATGTTATTCTTTCTGTAACCTATCCATTTCCCTGTCTACAATATCCTCCTTTGACCCACTCGTTCCCCTAGTCAGTGATATTATTCTTTCTGTAACCTATCCATTTCCCTGTCATTAATATCCTCAAATGACCTACTCATTCCCTAAGTCAGTGATATTATATATATTCTTTTCTAACATTCCCATATCTCCAGTCTTCTTTATCCACCCCTAACTTACCCTTTTCCAAAAGGATAGGATATCTAAAGGTTTCAAAACAAGTGGGAATTGGATATATATAGATTCTACCACTGCATCGAGTGTGATATGATATTTATCCACTCGAGACAGTTAAATTTTCAAATTTATAACGGGAGGCTCGACGAGTGTTATTTAAAATTTTACTGTCAAGAGTGGATAAATATCGTATTGCACGAGATTTGGTGTTGGAATCTGTTTCTCTAATGATTTAATCCTTCTTTTCGAATGATCTGCAAAAAGATGTGTTCTTTCTATGTGACGTCATCAGGCATGGTCGCATTTTTCTAATGACGTCACAATGGGAATTTCAAAGGAGAGCAAGAAAATTTGACATCATAATCGAATTTTAATCTATGAAGAACTGAGATCAAACGAACCACACGTTTATTAAATAAAATTAGTACCACTATCTCTCTCTCTAACTTACCCATTTCCCCAATCTACAATATCAGCTATTTCTTCTTTCAGTTCTACCATGCTATCCTCTGTTAACATATTACTCATTAGTTTTCCTCGTAAAAGAATTAATTCGTTCATTGTATGGTAAATTTGAGTAAGTACTAAAGTTGGTCCCTGAAAAAAAAATAATAAAAAATTATAAACTGTTATCACAGAGATATGTCTCGCCTTTTTGTAATTTTGATAATGCAAGTGTTGAAATTAAAATAGCAATACTTTAACATGCAAGTTATGCAAATATTCAAAGTCGATGAACCATGACTGAAGGTACATGGTTAAACAATCTCCATGGAATGAGATGTGCCAATGCTAATACAACTGCATACCAAATACCATTGACTTATTATAAGTCGTTCCCTTTAAACAAACCTAAACACAAACATTAACTTGTAAACTATGTAAAAGTTTCAAAGTCAATGAACCATTATCAGGGGTGGGGCTATATAATCTCCATGGAAACGATACTTGCAAATGCCAATAAATTTGCATACCAAATATCATTGACTTAACATTCGCAGTTCATCTTAAACTGATCTAATCACAAACTAATATATGTAAACTATGTAAAAGCTTCAAAGTAAATAGACCATGACTGAGGGGGCGGGGCCAAATATTCTCCATTGAAATGAGATGTGCTAATGCTTATACAACTGAACACCAATTAACATTGGCCTACCACTAATGGTTCCCCTTGAACTGACCTTATCACAAACTAATACATGTTAACTTAGCAAAATTTTCAAAGTCTATAGACCATGACTAAGGGGGCGGAGCCAAATAATCTCCATGGAAATGAGATATGCCAATGCTTATACAACTGCATACCAAATATCATTGACCTACCACTAGTGGTTCCCCATAAATTTACCTAATCGCAAACTAAAACATGTAAACTATGAAAAGTTTCAAAGTCAATAGACCTCGACTGAGGGGGTGGGGCCAAATAATCTCCATGGTAATGAGATGTGCCAATGCTAATACAACTGCATACCAAATATCATTGACCTACCACTAGTGGTTCACCATGAACTAGACCTAATCACAAACTAATACATTGTTGACACTGCCGCCCCCGCCGCCGGAAAAGCATACCTATGTCTCGCTTTTTGACCCCGTCAAGGCGAGACAAAAATGGATGAAAGACTCAAATGGCTGAGTCACAGAGATTATTTCTTAAATAAAAGATCCTTAGAAAGAAAGCTAACAATATCAAAAGCAATGAACCTATTTCTAGCAAGTTACAGCTTCAGATTTGAACCATCACAAAGTCAAGGATTCAGTATATTCATGTATTCATGTTTAGTAGAAGTTTCCTTTTTCAATGTATTGTAAAATAGAAATTTTTCTATCATTGTTATTTCACAAATTTGCCTCTATTTCTATGAGCTGTGATCTTGTCTTTGGAAGTATTGAGCTAGATTTCAATATGGATCTTCCTTGTCTTTGGAAGTATTGAGCTAGCTTTCACTATGGATCTTCCTTGTCTTTGGAAGTATTGAGCTAGAATTCAATATGGATCTTCCTCCACTTATTTGTTAACTTACATCCAAAGTTTGTTCCAATATAATGTAAGGTCCTGGAGTTATCATTAGGAAAACCCTTTCCTGCATATATTTCATTCTAATTTTAGAAACTAAAACCTTGACTTGTTACCTCAGAATCAATAGGGGTCTTCCTCTAATAGTTAGTGAATAAAGTTTGGTTCTAGTCATACATAAGGTTCAGGGGTTATTTTTTGGAAACTCCTATTCTACATTAATTTCAGTATTTTTTATAACTTTGGCCTTGACATTGGAAGCAATTGTCTCCAAATCAAAAAGGGATTTTCCTTTTAGTATATGTATCCATACATGCATGTTCATTACAATCTAATGCAAGTTTCTAGTATTATAATCTCAAAATTCCTTTCCTGCACTAATTTTTGTCTATTTGTAGTAACTAGGACCTTGACATTAAGTGTAGTGACTCAAAATAAATAGGGATTGTCCTCCCATTATATGTGACCATATCAAATTCAAAAAGGTAGACAAAAATTTTTGCACCAGATTTTAGAAGATGTATTAGTCAAAGGTTTGAACTTTTAGCAACAAATATAAAAATATTAAAGTGGTTACAAGTTCTGTAATAACTTCATCAGATAAACTGAATGCTAGGAGCTTTGAAAACCACATATATAAAATGTTTCCTGCATCAAATCCAAAATGATCTAAATAGTAGCCTAAAGGTATCTTAGGTCAAATATGCCTAAAATCTAGGGAGTTGCAACATTAGTTTAAGTACAGTTACGTAACTTATCAAAACTAAATAAATGCCCTCAAAATGTGTTATTTCAGTCATGTAAACTCTGATGAATTGTCTTCTGGGTAGAACATTTCCTTGGTGTCTAACATGTCACCAGCAATGGTACAGAATGAAGAATAGTAATATAAATTTAGGATACCAAATTCAATGCCCAGATAGACTAATGGAATAATCTTCATACAGTACACTAAATATTAAATCAAGATTTTTGAAAACAGAAAACTGCTATAGTTTCTCATGAAAATCATGTGTAAGACACTACTGTAAATTCAGAAACTATTGCGTGCATACAGACATTGCCATTTTTTGAAGAATGGACAAACATGCAAGATTAATTATTGTGGTGTCAGGAAAATGTATATCAGATATCAGAAAGTGAGTTCTTATTATTACAATAATCACCAAGTCGCATTATTCACATTAATAAAAAACTTGCAATTACTTCTGAATTTACAGTTTTAAGATGCACATACAAATCAAGTTAACTTGAAATTATAGCAAACAAACCTGTCTAAGAAATAAATTTTTCCATGCCACCCACCATTCTCGGAGCGTGAATGTCAACTCCATGGCCATTGAATCTTCCTTTGGTTTCACTGTCTCGAATTGTCTGTAATAAAAAAAACAGCTATAATTTTTCCATTGAAGCATATGAACAAAATCAAAATTATCTAGATATAGTGCACTCCTGGTAAGATTAACAAAATTTCCAATAGGTCATTAAGACTTCAAATAAAGGTAACAGTGATCCAATTCCTCTTGAATGCAGACTACAAGTAAGTACCAATAATATTTTGCTGTAAATCTCAGTGTACCATTTCTAGAATGCTACTAGAAATGACCTAATTTGTTCATGTTGAATGTCTTTTCAAATCTAATCATGTTTTTGGGTTATTGTCTCATTGAACAATAACCTAAATCTCTCTTGATTCATACTTACTGAATAATAGCTTAACTCATCATATAAAAATATGTAGATTCTTACATAAAACTATTGAAATGCTGAATAACACATGGTCAAAGATCTAAATCAATGACACTTGAAGTTAAATAAGTCATCATAATTTTGTGAGAGTAAACTTTTAAAATGTTAATAATATTAACCTGAAAACATAGTTTACTAAGAGTGTATTATGACACTCATAAAACATAGTATTACTGTGGGTACATAAGTTTTGCAGTATTGTTTGTCACATTATGTTTTGGATAATTTATTTTCAAAGATCAATTAAATCCATACAGTTTTCTCAGAAATCGTTTTTTTACAATTTAGCCAGTGGTAATATTTGCTATGTAGATATATTTATGACATGTACTATAAAGCTTACCCTGGATTTTCTACATCACAGTCTTTGGTATGTATATACATCTTTGGAAATATTCCCTGAAAATAAATAAACATTCTACCACTGCATCAATTGAGAAGTAATATTTATGATCATTTATCTACTCAAGATAGTAAGCTTTCCCAATTTTACAATACAAAAGCCTGCTAAGCATTTTAAATATTTACAATTTACTTTGAATAGTAGAGAAATATTGTGTCCCACTAGCCAGTTAGTTTCATAAGGTTTATATGACACATTGTGAATGAAATTTATTGTTGAATACTTTTTTTTGTGGCAATTTTTAAAACTTTTTGATGTATTGATATAAGAGAAGATCATTCGTGTTATTTTACTATGTGGAGAAGTCCTGAAAATTAGTTGGCTAACAGTATAGAGAAACTTCAATGTTCTTACTGTGTATAATGTTACTCACAAAACAAAGAGTTTAAAAAACACCAGTTTAGTTTTTTTTGTCATGTCATATTTTGGATAATTCATTTTCAGCTTTAATAAATAATAAGGTTTAAATTTTTCCAGCTTATCTGTAAAATTTGTGCTCATTCTGTGTAATGTCATCAGTATACAAAAAAAAAAGGAACAGTGGTATGACTGCCAATAAGACAACTATCCATAAAAGACCAAATAACAAAGATGTAAACAACTTCCTGAAAAATAAGACCTTCAAAAAATGAAAAAAGCCATACCCTATAGTACGCCCATGTAACAAAATATGAAATACTGCAAAAAGAATACAGATTTAAGCTAAGAACGATAAACAAAAAAAAACAAAAAAAACTGGTTAACACAGAGATATGTCTCGCCTTTTTGTACTTTTGATAATGCAAATGTTGAAATTAAAATAGCAATACTTTAACATGTAAGTTATGCAAATATTCAAAGTCAATGAACCATGGCTGAAGGTACATGGAAAAACAATCTCCATGGAAATGAGATGTGCCAATGCTAATACAACTGCATACCAAATACCATAGACTTATCATAAGTCGTTCCCTTTCAACAAACCTAAACACAAACATTGACTTGTAAACTATGTAAAGGTTCAAAGTCAATGAACCATGATGAGGGGGTGGGGCTATATAATCATGGAAACGAGACTTGCAAATGCCAATAAATTTGCATACCAAATATCATTGACTTAGCATTCGCAGTTCATCTTAAACTGATCAAATCACAAACTAATACATGTAAACTAAGCAAAAGTTTCAAAATCAATAGACCATGACTGCAGGGGCGGGACAAAATATTCTCAATGGAAATGAGATATGCCAATGCTTATATAACTGCATACCAAATATCATTGACTTACCACTTGTGGTTCCCCTTGAACTGACCTAATCACAAACTAATACATGTAAACTAAGCAAAAGATTTAAAGTCAATAGACCATGACTGAGGGGGCGGAGCCAAATAATCTCCATGGAAATGAGATATGCCAATGCTTATACAACTGCATGCCAATTATCATTGACTTACCACTAGTGGTTCCCCATAAACTGACCTAATCACAAACTAATACATGTAAACTAAGCCAAAGTTTCAAAGTCAATAGACCATGACTGAGGGAGCAGGGCCAAATAATCTCCATGGAAATGAGGTGTGCCAGTAATAATACAACTGCATACCAAATATCATTGACCAACCACTAGTGGTTCACCTTAAACTAGACCTAATCACAAACTAATACATTGTTGACACCGCCTCTGCCGACGCCAAAACAGCATACCTATGTCTCGCTTTTTGACTCCGTCAATTAACAGAAATGACAGCATATGTAGTCATCATTTTCATACCATCACAAAAGCAAAACCATAAAATGGCCTGCAAAGGACATTAGAGCGATAAAAAAAGATGTTTGAGCGCCAAAGTATAAGACATAAATTTGAGCACTTGAATTTTGGGACATTTGAGCAAAAATTCAAAAAAAGCATAGGACATCTAGGATATTTGAGCAATTTTTTTTAAAAAGCATAGGACATTTAGGACATTTGAGCAAAAAATTTAAAAAAGCATAGGACATTTAGGACATTTGAGCAAAACAAAGAATAAGCATAGGACATTTGAGCCAAAAAAAATAAGAATGATGAAGAAGTACCATCTTCACTAGCCAAGGGTTACGATCTAGTCCCCTCCTCTCCATCCTTGGCAGATTTCAAGGCTGTGCCATCTACCGGTAGACAAGAGTCACGCCCATTACGACTGCATCATTTTTGACCAATGACAGCACTTGAACTCTCTTCAGTGTGGAGGTGTAAAAATGGTAGTGTCTAGTGTTTAGATCAGGAACCGAAAAATATATGTTTACATTCCAACATTTGCGCAAGAAACATACCCAGGAACTCCAATTAGTTGATTGAAAACTTTAAAATTGTCACTGAATATTGTCCAATGTTTTTGGGGTAAAGACTTGTTGAACAATCAGCATGTGGCAATTGTTTATTTACATTTTCTACATTTACACGGGATCATCTTAAAGGTGCTTTTTGATTGGATGCAACCAGTTACAACTGCAACCAATGAAAATCATTACCTTGTGGATTCGAAATTCTATCTTAATTCTGCCAAGGGTGGAGAAGGGGGACTGGATCGTAAACCTTGGCTAGCAAAGATGAAGGAGTACCTATTCTGTGCGCCAGATATAATCTGTTATGCCTGCTCACCACGGGGAGGTGGATGTAACCACTCTATATCGGAAACTGTCACAAACAAGGCTCTTTTTTTCTTTTATTAGTCTGGGTCAAAATTATATCAATTTTAACATGTTCATGTATTAGTATTAAGATCTCAAGTGCCAAGGAACATTTCACTTTATAAATATATGAAACTTAGAGCAAAGAAAATGTGCATAACCAATGAATTACAGTAGAATTAACTACCGTTTAATAGCCAGATCTGTGCAAATTACTTGGCTGTAAAATCAAATGAAATATATTTGTTTTAAAAACTTACTCTTTTTCTTACTTTTTAAACATATTTTCTTAATTCATATAAAAGTATCACAGGAAATTTGGCTCAAAAGAGGGACGAAAGATACCAGAGGGACATTCAAACTCACAGATCGAAAACAAATTGACAACGCCATGGCCAAAAATAAAAAGACAAACAGACAAATAATAGTACAGATGACACAACATAGAAAACTAAAGACTAAGCAACACGAACCCCACCAAAAACTGGGGGTGATCTCAGGTGCTCTGGAAGGGGTAAGCAGATCCTGCTCCACATGTGGCACCCGTCGTGTTGCTTATGTTATTACAAATCCGGTAAATAGTCTAATTCGGTAGGTCACATTTGTGAAAAGGGAAGGGGGAAGGGTATTGTAGTTACATATCCGATATCATCTGTGAAACGGTTATTCCATAACGGTCAACCAACTCCTGGCGTCCGTAAAATTTATGAAGGGATGATTTCAACTTCACCATTTGGAACTCTTGGTTTAATAGCTTCCTTGTGAGCAGCAATCCTCTATCAAGGAAATCATGATAGGAAATACAAGCCCGGGAATATGGTATCAATTGGGAGATCTATACTCTGTATGCAGGCACTGCTGGAATGTTGCTACATAGAAATGGAAAGTTCACAATTGGGAAGCTGAAATCATCTCTTTTGTCGTAAAGTTTTGTTTTCAACCGACCCTCATTGTCAATTTCTAGATGTAAGTCAAGATATGAGGCAGACTTAACTGTATCTGTAGTATCCTTTTTCTCTAGTTCGATGGGATAGATTCGTTCAACATAGTCACCAAATTTTGTATTATTTAGTGAGAGAACATCATCTATATAGCGGAACGTAAAGTTAAAGGATATTGCTATCTTTCTTCCTAAGAAGTTCCTGTATGAAGTCCTCCTTATAATAATAAAGAAACAAGTCGTCAAGAAAAGGGGCACAATTGGTTCCCATTGGAATTTAGACAGTCTGTTGAAAAACACGTCCTCCAAACGTAACAAATATGTTGTCAATCAAGAAATCAAGCATCTTGATAATTTCAGTTTCAGAGAATTTTTTGTTTGAATCAGAGTGATTCTTTACAAAGTAGGATTTATCCCTCCCCAAGACAAGATACTTGTATCTACGTTCACCATTCTTTTTAATGAAACAAAGTAATACCAACTCTTTCAATTTGTCTTTTAGTTTGGAATGGGGAATACTTGTGTAAAGTGTAGAAAAGTCAAATGTTTTAATACTATTGCAAGATGAGAGAGTATTAGATTGTATGTACTCTAAAAGATCTTTGACTCAAATGTCCTATTTTAAAATCTAGGTAAGTTTAATATTCAAGCGCTAAAATGTCCTATGATGTCAGCGCTCAAATGACCCTATGTGCATTTTTTATTTTCACTCAAATGTCCTATGCCAAAAATGACAAAGGTCCTAATTTTCAAAAATGAAAACTTGAGAAAAAGCAAAACACATTTTGATTATCAAAAAAATAACATATTGAGCAGAATTTAATTGACCAAAAATTAGAAAAAAATAAAATAAGGAATTCAATCACGAAGTTTAAGCCAAAAAATTGTTAAAATTTTTTTTAATTAATGAACCAATTATATAATGAAAATGTGTCCATCCCAAATATTTAATGTAAAGATGTATAACAGTTTATTATTGAGAACCAAAAACTTAATATTTCAGAGCATCCTGTACCTGAAGTTTATGTTCTGAATGTAATTTTGGTCATTTATGTAAAATTGAGAATGGAAATGGGGAATGTGTCAAAGAGACAACAACCCAACCAAAGAGCAGAAAACATAGTTAATGTTATTTTACAATGACAGAACACTGTAGCAGCTGAAGCGTGGTTTAGGAAATGTTAATGCTTCAAAATAATGAAACTTTTTCAGCAAATGAAATCTGAGTGACTTCTTCATATTGCAAGTAGGTGATATAGTTGACACTCATTACTTCAAACCAGATCAGATGAAATCTCAGTTCAAGATCTTTGTCAAGTATATATTAGTGCATAGAATTTCCAGGAAAAATCAAATAAACTGAGTAGATAAACTGTGAATTGAGTAAATATATTTATAACAACAACAAAATTTAAGTTTAATAATAAATATCATGAATATGTTTCCTAGCAAAAAAAGGATAAACACAATATGTAATTTTTCAGGTCATCAAAATGTGACAAAAATGTATCTAGAAAAAGACGTATTTTTCAACTGATTTTAATCATTAGCACCAAAATGAGTTCATGCACTCGTTTTAAAAAATGACATTAGGTTTAATTATGTAGGAAGATCATTAGTAACAACTTTTATGGAAAAAATCACCAATGCATTTTTTTTTAATTATATAAATAAATAGCAAAAAGAGCATGTGAATATTTCATAAAGAATCATTTCCAAACAATTGTTGCACATATTTGCACATATTTAATGTGTACTTTATATATAGTACATGTATGTAAAGAAGATAATCCAAATGTTTTTAAAAATATGAAAGACAGAATCCAAAGACAACCACTGAATTACAGAACAGGCAAACATGTTTAACTACATAATGTACCAACTATCCAAAAAATGTATTTTACAGAAGTTAAAAAAAAATAAATGGGGAATGTGTCCATGGGACACAGATGATGCCCCAGCTTGAATATCATATAAAGTTATAAAGGGACATAACTGAAGAACGGTAAAAGTGACGCTACCCAAATTTGTACTTGAACTGAGTTTTGGGGTAATAAGTATTGTGTACAAGTTTCATAAAGATAGAGAACAGAAACGAAAAATTCAGCAACTTTTTTATTTGAAAAGGGGCATAACTCTAGAACAGTAAAAGTGACAACATAAAAATTCAAACTTGATCTGTATTTTGTGGTAATAAACATTGTGTATAAGTTTCATAAAATTTGGTTGAGGCTAATTAATATATAACTTAAGTTAGAGAACGGAAATGAAAAATTCAGCAATTTTTCCATTTGTAAAGGGGCATAACTCTAGAACAGTTAAAGTGACACCATCAAAATTCAACCTTGATCTGTATTTTGTGGTAATAAGCATTGTGTATAAGTTTCATAACATTTGGTTGAGGCTAACGAAAGTTAGAGAATGGAAATGAAAAATTCAGCAATTTTTCCATTTGTTAAGGGGCATTACTCTAGAAAAATTAAAGTGACGCCACCAAAATTCAAACTTGATCTGTGTTTTGTGGTAATTAGCATTTTGTATAAGTTTCATAACATTTGGTTGAGGCAAACTAAAGTTAGAGAACGGAAACCAACTTTGGGACATACTTACATACGGACGGACAAGGGTAAAACTTAATGCCCCTTCCACTACAGCGGGGGCATAAAAAAAACGTAGTGTTCATTTTTTGAAACAAAAAAGTCCTATTCAAATTATACAAATTTATGTAAAACAAAAAATATTTAAGGTAAATATATTTAAAATTTCAACCACATTAATCTCTAAAATTAGCACATGAAAGTATGTTAGATCTGTGTTTTGTGGAAATAAGTATTGTTTTTAAGTTTCATAACATTTGGCTGAGGCAAGCTAAAGTTAGAGAATGGAAACCAATTTTGGGACATACATACATACCTATGGACATACAGAAGGACAAGGGTAACACTTAATGCCCTCTCCGGTGATGGCGGAGGCATAAAAATTGAATATGTTATATACTTGAATGGCTATGTTTGTATGTGAAACATGTGTACATAGACCTTCTTGAAAAAAATCCTTTATGTTATCTAATTTGCAGAATTGTCCTGCTATTGAATTATTGTCTTTTCTACTCTAATTTGCAGAATTGTCCTGCTATTGAATTATTGTCTTTTCTACTCTAATTTGCAGACAGTTTTTCCATATGCAGTGACACTAACCTAGACACCTTTCATTAGAAATTTAGCAACCACAAAACACAATTATGTGTGAGGAAAAACTTTATAATTACCAGAAACTTGTTTCATATGACTTTAACTAAGACAGATCTTCCAACAAAGTTTAGGAGGAAAAACAGCAATCTGGTGTTATATTCCTTGTTTAACAAGTTTTGTGTTGTCCTGCATGTAAACCCTATATCTTTTCTTTTTTCAATCGATATATAGAACTACCTTAACACTGAACCAGTGCACGTGTCTCCTGTACAAAGGATTTAAAACTGCATGTAAATAGATAAAAACTGTACATATTTTTATACCTTAAAGAAATTTAAAATTCATTGACTTTATATCCTAATAAATCACCTTTATTCACAATATAATTATTAATTTGCCCTAAACACATTACAAAGTAACTTTAACCTATGAGATGAACAGGTATATTAATCTCAAATTCATAAAAAACCCACATTTTGAAAAATCATAGGATTATAGATAAGAACAAAATATTCATTAATAAAATATACAATGATTTAAAATCATCTTACTTCTTAAGGAAATTATATTGGTACCAAATGACTTGTACATATATATTAAACTGTGACCATGACATTGAAATCATATGACAGAAATGAAAATTCTCAGTAATTAATTTTTGTTTTGGACACCTGTCTGTATAAACACCTTAGGCTAGACAATTGATGTATGTAAATCTAACAGGCTTGTCTATGACTTCATTCATGCCTGTGATACATTTATCTGCAAGTCACATGTATATTAAAATATCTTTAAGTCACATGTAAATTAAAATAAAAATTTTAAATTCTTGTATATCAAAATATTCTTTAGATTTAAATTTGGAATAAACCTAACGCATTTACAAATTGATGGTTCCTAACACGAACTGATGCTAGTCCCTAGAAGAGTTCCAAATGATAATCCTTTAATTCCTTGCTCCTTGTCCTCAAGGATCATAGTTCCTGAAGAACTCAAGGACCTTTAATTTTTGGTTCCTACCCTTAAATGATGCTATTCCTGATCCCCACATATTTTTGTGTTTAAGGCGACAGGTTTATTGTATGAATAATAAACTACTGTCAAATGACTAACCCATCATGACAGAGTTACACTATATGTTGTCTTCATCAGTTTTGACCTTGTATTTAAGTAAGATATTGGGCCTGTAGATTTGTTTTCACACATAACTATTTTATAAAAATAAGAAGATGTGGTATGATTCCAATGAGACAATTCTCCACCAGAGACCAGCTGACATAAAAGTTAACAACTATAGGTCACTGTACAGCCTTCAAAAATGAGCAAAACCCATAATGCATAGTCAGCTATAAAAGGCTGCGAAATGACAAATGTGAAACAATTCAAACGAGAAAACTATCGGCCTGATTTATGTACAATACAATGAACGAAAAACAAATATGATATACAACATCAAACTACAACCACTGAATTACAGGCTCCTGACTTGGGACAGGCACTACATTATATTGTTAGAGTGAAGTCAGTTTTATTGATATATAAATTTCAGATAAACCAACAAACTTTCCACAACCGTCAAATTCAACTATGATTGAGAGTAACATGCCCCTATTTGAAATCCTTTTATCCCTACTGTAGTAGTAAATAGTGTAAGTGTATAACATGTATAAGCAAGAGAGTAAGAGACATATTTTTCAGATATACATTTTACCAAATAAAAGGTAATTCCTCTACTTACCGACTGGTTTCTGTTTGAAAGTAAATGACCTCTAAACCATCCTACAAAATATAAAAAAGAAAAAATGTAATTTTTGAATATCTATTTGTTGTGAAAAAAAAAATGATTTTGAACTATACTAAGAAAACTTGTTTAAGAATAGATTAAGGTGAATCATCATTATATATTTCCTCAGATAGATTTTACCCCATGCTTTTTTCGAATCATAATAAAAAGTAAGGGTCACCATACTATTTTTCAAGCTACAGTCATAGATTATTCATGAAAAAACACTTTTTGTGAATAAAAAGAAATCTATGAGTTAGATTTACTTGTAGCTTCTCATATTTAGAAGTTTGAAATAAAATATGAGAAGATAGGTTTTATAATATGCTTCAAGAAAATAAAAAGGTAAAATAGTGTCATTAAACTTGTTTTTTTTTTGCTACAAGTAAATAAACTGTTAGCACAGAGATATGTCTCACCTTTTTGTTATTTTGATAGTAAAATGCAAATGTTGAAATCAAAATAGCAATACTTTAAATAAAAGTTATGCAAAATATCAACAGTCAATGAACCATGACTGTAGGTACAGGGCCAAACAATCTCCATGGATATGAGATGTGCCAATGCAAATACAACTACACCCAAAATACCACTGAGCTACCACTAGAGGATCCCATAAACTGACCTAATCACAAACTAATACATATGAACTAAGCAAAAGTTTCAAAGTCAATAGATCGTTACTGAGGGGGCAGAGCCAAATAATCTCCATGGAAATGAGATGTGCCAATGATAATACAACTGCATGCCAAATATCATTGACCTAAAACTAGTGGTTCCCGATAAACTGACCTAATCACAAACTAATACATGTAAACTAAGCAAAAGTTTCAAAGTCAATAGAAAATGATTGAGGGGACGGAGCCAAATAATCTCCATGGAAATGAGATGTGCCAATGCTTATATAACTGCATACCAAATATCATTGACTTACCACTAGTGGTTCCCCTTGAACTGACCTAATCACAAACTAATACATGTAAACTAAGCAAAAGATTTAAAGTCAATAGACCATGACTGAGGGGGCGGAGCCAAATAATCTCCATGGAAATGAGATATGCCAATGCTTATACACGGACAAAAATCAAAAATTTCATTAACATTCCTCTAAACAAATTTTACTAAAAGAGTTATCTCCCCTTATATGGCTAAGTTGAAAAATATAATTGAACAGCAACAAATATTTGGTATTTGCTTAAACAGTCCGAATAAAAGAACAGAGTTCCAATGTCCCCTGCATTGCACATATTTTATCTATCCAAGGTAAAAGGGCAATAACTAAAAATCAAAGTACTGAAGTACTGAACATCGGATGACCACAAGTTCTTGAGGATGGTCAAAAGCACTTGTCTCAGAAAAAAACAACATATCTCTTTACCTGAAACTGAGGTTAATGTACAGAGATATATTTTTTTGTGAGACAAGTTCGTGCGTGGATGATGAATAAATGACAGGAAATTCAACTTCACCGTAATAACTATTATATTGTAGTGATACAAATCATACACTGATTTGTTGTTATATATTATATTAAAATAACAGTTACATATATATATGATTTGCATCCATTTGTATATCATTCTATTCTACTATTCTAATAATAGTGCAATGCAAGTGCATGGTGGACACTTTTCTGTAAAAATTCGATTTTTCTAAGATTGGATACGAGTAGGCATTCATATTTTCCCGCAAAAACAATTACAGAGTTACCGGTCCTTGCCGGTATTGTCGCAAAATGTTCTTTGAGATATTCTTCCACATGCTTTAACACAATTTTTCGTTAATGTGCATTGATATTATCAATGATTTTTACTTATATATATATATATATATCTAACTACAAAACATTTTCATATTATTAATTTATGTTGTAAACAAAAATATTTTTATCAGTATTCATTGAAGAGATGTATTTATATCAAACGATAAGGAATGTTATTTTGCACTCGTTTATGTGCGCATATTTATAATGTTTAAAGATCGGTTACAAACCCAAAACTAATTTACATAATGGAAATCTAGGCGATAGCAATACATCGGAATGACATCAAGGTCATCGCGATGTAAAAAGCACTTTTTTTTGTTCTTTAAAACTTTTTATTAATATTCTAGAGAAATGAAGGCTTCAGAGCAAATGCAATGTGATTTCCATTATAATCAATATTTCCAAGGGGCATAACTCGTTTAAAAATATTTGATCAGCACTTATTTTAAAAAGTGTCAAAGATACTGCTGATATAAGTTTCATAAAAATCTGGAAAGAATTGTACATGTGAGAGTGTTAACAAGACCAGACGGACGGACGCCAGGTATTTCTATGTCCCCCGCAACGTGTTGCGCGGGGGACAATCATAAAATGAAACACTTTTTTTTTTTTTTTTAATGAACAATCTTACACATTAATTGCCAATCTGTTTAAAAACTTGTAGAGTTAGGCAAATAACTAGACTGACTGTGTACTGCTATTTTACAATCCAAAATGGTGGAATGCATTTAATCTGCCTTATTTGATTGATTACTTGTTTAACATCCCGAGGCAAATATTTTATGCTTGTTCAGGACAAAACAAAGTAAACAAGCAATACAAGAGATAGTTTCTGCAAGGTAGGTCGACTGGGATGATGGGTGGGAACGGAGAAGAACCAGGAAGGTCATATATGGTCCTAGAAATAGAACTTTAGTAATATCATATGCAAAAACCTATAATTATGATCTTCAATATGCAAAATTAGATAAAATAGACCCTTTTTCTCTCTGCTGTTCATTTAGACCATGTTGACAGCATCTAAAGTATGAAATTTTATATAAAAATAAGCAGATGTGGTATGATTGCCAATGAGACAACTCTCCACCTGAGACCAAATGACATAGAATTTAACATCTACACCATTTTAGACAGATTGCCTGTTTTTCATGCATTTATGAGGTATATTTCCCTCTGAAAAACATTGGTCACACCCTTCAACCAATATAAATGTGTTATGCAAAGATGTAAATAGACCAGATACACATCCTAACAAAAGAGGGACGAAAGATACCAGAGGGACAGTCAAACTCATAGATCGAAAACAAACTGACAACGCCATGGCCAAAAATAAAAAGACAAACAGAAAATAATAGTACAGATGACACAACATAGAAAACCAAAGACTAAGCAACAGGAACCCCACCAAAAACTGGGGGTGATCAACAAAATATCATGGTGGTCCTTGCTTGTGAACAATGTCATTTCAGGCAAAACCTTAAAATTAGCAAAAACTAGATGTGTCTGAAAGACACGAGTGGCCCCGCTTGCAAAATAAGCTTGAAGCTATTTTTAGGAGTGGAAATTTGAGATTGAAAGTCAATATAACTGTTATTTTCAGGAAAAAGTCCAATGCTCTTTGTTTCAGCAAAAATCAGCAGAGTGGAACCAAACATAAACTCGATCTGTAACTCATCATAGTAGACTAACATACTAAAAATCAGCTAAATATGTGAAGGCATTTAGAAATAAGTTTGTATAACTGTTATTTTCACAAAATGTTCAAGTCCAAAGCCTGTTTTTTCAGCAAAAATCAGCAGGGCAGAACCAAACGTAAACTGGATCTGTAAGTCACCATAGAAGACTCACATTCTAAAAATCGCTCAATATGTGAAGACGTTAAGAAAAAAAGTCTGTATAACTGTTTGTTGCGAATTATATGGCCCCGACAACTTTGTAAAAAGATAGTCAAAATTAAGATTTTCATTAATAGAGTGCAAATTGATGACGTCATAATGACATTATAAGTGTTCTTATGCGTCAGAACTTGTTGACTTTGTATTTGTCAGATATTTCTACACATTTTATTAATAGATGTTTACTATCATTACTGAATTTAAATTTCATGAAATTATAGGGTCAATATTGACCCTTTGTGAACATACTCCTTTGGACTACCACTGGCAAACGTAGGTATGTTGGATAGGGGTAGACATTTGCCTTGCAACAGATTCCTAAGAAAAGTGTTGCAAGTGTTCTTTAAAGTGCAGAGAAAATGGCATTTGCCCTATATTGGACATCAGATTTAATGTCTCCATTTCAACTGGACAGGGATGCGTATTTATAAATCCTACACAGCCAAAATGGACGCCCCACTTTAGCAATCTTTATATGACTTTGATGAACATATACAAGGATATACAGACCAGAGCAATCACATCCTCTGGTTTTGAATAAGCAGGATATAAAAATATAAAATAATTGCTGTAATTATCCCTAAAATACTTGAGGAAGAACACAAAAATTAACAGAAACTGTTTTTCAAAGTTCATACCTTTGTTCAGCAGTTCTTGTCATTTAAGGGTAGTTAAATCTACACTCTGATAAAAACTTCAGACCTTTGAAATACTTCCACAAATATTCAACTGTATTTCCTAGAAAAAGACGACTGTGAAAGCTATATAAAACCCCATAATTCTTGTGCTGTGTCCTCTAGTGTCAAAGGATGATTGCAGAGGTATGTTTGTTTTAGTTCAGTCACTGATTTCAAATCTCAAATTTATGTAAATGTAAACAACTGGCGAAATTTTAGTATTGAAATTCTACATCTAAAGTTTTTGTTCCAGGACATTTTATAATGACAGGTTATCAAACAGGGAAGGAAACTTATTGTCTAAAACTCTATCTAGTTATATCTGTGATCTAATTCTGCAGTCAGGACATAGCTGGCCACAGAAATAGCAGTTTACAGATACAGCAGGCAACAAATGTATTCTTTCCAATTTTTTTTTTTATTTATTTGGACTGACTTTAAAACTGACTTTAAAATTATATATAAACTGTAATTAAATTAATTATTATCACAATAATCTAGAAATTTTCAACAACAAAAAGTTATATTTTGAAATTTATGGGCAGCAAAATCTAGGATATATACTTTATTTTATAAGTTAAAGTGTCCATGTACACTGATGAAAAAATTCGTAAGGGTTCCGCGGAACCCAGTGTCTCGCCTACTTTTTCTGTTAATCG